ACCGTCAAGTCCAACCATCCCCTTCATGCTTTGGCTCCGTGTCCCCTCTGACACCCTCGGGGTTTGCTCAGAGGCTCTCAGAAATCACCCTCACCTCGTTGCTGATGGTGATTACACCTTCCTCACACGTTAGCTGAGATGTTTCCTCTCGAGGTCTCAGTGGCACTGAGACGTGGGCAGCCCCACACATGACTTCTTGAGGCCACCACACCAAAACAGCAGAGAGGGGGAGGCTTTTTGTGCCTCACGGAGCTGCCAAGCCCACACCAAGTTACTACGAGGTTTGTCGTGGCACACAGCGGTTGAGAATAAGGCCAAAGAAATCAGTAATTGTGCTTATTTTCCTTGCTTGTAGACAGCCTGATTGGTCCGCTGCAACTTACTCCTGCTGTCTCTGTTCATATCTTTTCTTCTAGGCAGCTGCCAGCTGATGCTGCATGTTGGTTTTGAGTGGAAAATACTAGCAGGCCTGAGCTCTAAAATGCTGTTTCACTCACGTTTCAGTATTTAGCTATACAGATGCTGGAGAAGGCCTGGTATTTCACAACCTTGGACGCTGAGGGAGCTAACAGCATTATTTGCTAGTGGTCAGGAAATGCAAATCGCAGCTGCAGAAGGGTTCGCCACCTCGTGTGGGATTTCCTACGCTGTAGATGCCCCTCTCCATCACTCCCAGCATGGTGCTCGTGGTCCTGGAGAAGCCCATAAGGCAAATAAACTCCTTTTCTTAATCTTCTTACATTTTTTGTATTTCTCTGCTCTATTAATAAAGGACTGGGAAATACATCTGTCTGCCCCAGCAAGGACCTCAAATCATGTTTGAAGTGGTGGGTAAAAGTACATGAGGCATTGTTGAATAGCCACTGGCTGAATCAAAAGTAATCCTAAGACACCAAAACCACTGCTGTATTCAGGTAGATTTCAGGACATTTCAGCCACAAAAAAAATGAAGCAGGAATGACCAAAAAAAAAAAAAAAAGGGAAAAAAAAAAAAAAGCACTTAAGAGCAAGCACTTAAATACCATGAATGTGTATTTTAGAATTAAGGTCTGTTTTTTTTTTTTTTGATTCTTATCAAAACTTATGACTTCTCATTTTGGAGAAGGACAAAATATTTTAAAACAGACCTAGAAGGATGAAGCTTGTGAAACCAAATGCTGAAACAGTGCTCCAAAGGATGCAAACTGTTCCACTTCTGGCTGAATGGAGCATCACAAGGAAATGTTTCAAGAGCAGAAAGGATGACCAAGTCTAAGTGACCTCAGCTTCCTTCCAAACCCAGCAATTTCCAGAATTCCCCGTGGGAATCCCTCTTTGTCAATGTGGTGCGAGTGACAGCAGTGCCCACTGCCATTGCCCTGGCCTGGATGCCTGGAGGGAGATGGACACCCCAGGTGCTGGGACACTCACCTGGGTTATGGGTGGTAGAAGAAGAGCTGCAGAGAAGGAAGGTCCCCTGTGGAGGATGCAGACAAGCTAAAGGTTTTTCTTCCTTTAGAAAAAGGCAAAGAGACACCTGCCAGCCAGCTAACAGGGAAGCTTGCATGCTGCAAAATCCCAGTATATCAGTTAAAACTCCACCAAAGGAAAAAGCAAGAGCATTTTTGCCTCCTACTCGGACCCTGCACCTCCAATTCTGCGGGTCCCAGCCCAGTCACACCAAAACAGCAGCCCCCACTGCTTCCCTGCTTGCCTCCCCTCTGCCACATCAGAGCCGTGGCTTTCCAATTCTCGCCACTCTCAAGCTCAGCAGAAGGTGTGGAAGGCATTTGTGGGCTGGGGGACAACCTCGCCAACCCAATGGTTATTGCACAGTGACATGGGGTTGCAAGAGTTCTCGGCTGCTTGCTCCTTGCAGCAGACATCTCCAAGTAGATCTCAGAGCCCAGCAGCCCAGGTTGGATAACTCAGGGATGGCCCCTGATCCTAAAAACAGAGGCAGCAGAAGGCCAGGACAACTTGCTCCTGTGGGTCTTGTAGGCACTACCACGGGTTATGTGATTAAACAGCAGCACCGAGTTTGCAAAGCTGTCAATCCCATACCTTTCATCAGTACTTAATTCACTAAAAAAAAAAAAAAAAAGCCACACCAACCCTTAAAAGCTTTGGAGCTGCATTTCTCATGGCTGCAATAATACTTACAATATGGACTCTAGCTGCTTTTTATGTAACTGCTGCTCTTAATCAGCTTGGTTTTAGCAGCTCTAACCTGCTCTTCCTTGATTTATTTTATTTTATTTCTAAAACAAACATAGATTTACAATCTCTCTGATTTCCCAGCTTTTATGCCACTCCACTGAGGCGCTTTAAACATCTCATTTATCTCCCATACGTTGGGAAATTACAACCCCCTCCCCTCCAAAACAAACAAGCAAGCAAAAAAACCTCCAGCTAAAATCTACACAGTTGGAAAGTGTTGATTTAAACAATAACCCTGAAAGAAGATAGGGAGAGACTAGAACATGAAAACAGACTTTTTTTTTTTTTCCCCTTGTACAGATTGAGCTGTGAGGTTGTTTGCATCAAATGTTGACTTGTTCCAAGGCAGCATCTATTTATATAGTGTGGAACTGGTAGGAAACAGCATGAAATGATAATTCCAGTCTTTGGAGAAAGACTGCACCGCTACATTTGTTTTAGCACCCATTTTCCTCTCTGTCCTGCCCACATCCACATCTGTGCTTATACGAAGGGGGCTGGAAATTGTGGTGGTAATTTAAAGTATTGGGCTGTCCAAACGAGGTTTGGATAGGAAGTATATGCTGACGTTTTTTTCTGATCTGTATCATTTATGAAAAAAATCCTTCCCTAATTAGACAGATGATTTAAGCTGTATTTGCTACTGATTGATGTGTTTGCTGAATACAAAGGGCTGCACTTAAGGAGAACAACTGCAAATCTTGCTCTGGTGAAAGCAATGCTGTGCACCAACTTCCTAGTCCGTTATGCTAATTGCAAAATTCACTGAATACAAATAGTGGATTTTTAAAATTTTCTTGTTTTAGACTGCTTTTATGTCTTTTTCTCATTTCTCTCCTGCCTAACATAATCATAGATTCTTTAGTCTATATTACATTAAAGTAATGGGAAGCTTTTTCTTCCCAATTAACATTTGGTAATATATAAACAAGCAACTCACATTTCTCAATGAATCAAAGGGATAACCTTCATTTTCTTAGCTTTATATCCATTTTTTTTCACTCTGTAACGACCTTTTATGTACCCATGAAAATTATTGCCAGCAGAACACTGCACTGCACGACGCATCACCTCCCTATTAGTAGTCAAGGCTTGAATTTTTAATTCGAGATAACCTCCGAACACCGAAACAGTTCACAGTACCTCAACCAGCAAACCCAGCAATTTATCACTTTCCCCTCGAAAACAGAAAGCGGGCAAAACACGAAAGTCTCCTATGTATTGATGGGGCATGGGGGGGATGGTTGTAAATCTAAACCCTCCATTCCAGAGCACATCCCCAGATGTAAATAAGCACACAAGCATGTTGCTACATATTTTTACCGAAGCAATTACAAACAGCCTTATCAGCGGCGGGCGAATTCGGCACCGGGCACATTTCTTATCCGTTGTGCCCTCTGCTGGATACGGCACACAAGGCAAGCAATATTATTTCCAATTAATTTTTGGCATCATCACTTGGCATCTGCTTTAGGAATGCAAAGCGTGAAATTTGTAGTAGCAGGTTTAATATTTGATCCAGCCAAAAATATTTTTGCTACAAGGACTTACCTTTGGTGGTGTTTTCCTCCCCGCCCCCTCCCCTCCGTGCTCTTTCCTTGCCGCCGAGCCTTGTTTACGGTCCAAACTCGAAAATCTGCCACCGAACGCCATACGTGGCAGGAATAATTTCATGCTGTGCAAAATTTGTTTCATTTCACATCCTGTAAGAATAATTACTTAGCATAATGCCACTTAAGCTGCATTTCTAGCTGCAAACATTAAGGAAATGGTAAAAAGCTAGATCCCAGTTGGGAGAAAAAAAGGGTATTTAGGGGTCACTGGGGTTCCTTAAAACTAGACACTTTTAATGCCAGGGACAACAAGAAAAATTAGAATGATATAAATGCTGTTTCTGAATTTAAAAACGCGGTAAGATCTAATATTTTCAATTATATTCGAGGTCACCTATACAATTGGGCACCTCAATAGGACACTGCCTTCAGAAACACAGGACAAAATGCCTGGCCAAACTGCCCATGTTTCTTGTGTTTCCTGCATCTTCTGTAATTAAGTTTATTTGAGGGCTACAGTTGTCCGAATGGTCCTAAATTAAGCAAGTGAAGAAGCTGGACCTTCCTCACATCATGTTATCGACTCTGATTTTTACATGATGCAAAACTGGACTAGGTAGGTTTGGAGAAGAGTTGATGTCATGGATAAGTGGGTACATTGAACAAATTCAGCACAAGTTGTGAGAAGAATACCTTAGTACTTCAAGGCAGATACATGGTGCCAAAGGCAACTCTGATCTCCCACCTGGGCTCCCCAAAAGAGGATTCTTGTAGTCAGAATTACTCATAGTTCACGCTTACCTGTAAAAATACTTTTTTTTTTTTTTTTTTTTTTCCTAGCAAAATCAATCTGCAACACTCACTCAAATCCAAGAATAGCATGGCCAAGTTGAATTAACTCAATTAATTTTAAGGTTCAAAATTAAGATTTTTTTTTCTCTAAACGCAAAAACAAACAACAAAAAAGTTCATTTTTTTTCAATTCCAAACCACAGCTTGAAATCAATCTCTCAATTTTTCTTTCCCAAATATTGGCAAGACGTAATCTCATATGGAGAAGCTCTCTTGAGAAGTACCTCATCCCCTCATTTTTTAGCCAGCAATGACAACACTTGCGTGCACCAAGTACCCAGGCTGCCCTTCATCTTCCTTGAGGCCCTTGTGTCTCTTCCTCACTCACCAAAAAAATCCACTTGTGCCATACTTTGAACAACATGGATTTACAAACACAAATTCACCGATATTCAATAAGTTTGCATCAAGTTTATTGAGCCCAACAGAAGGCAAATTCTCAGATTCATTAGGAACAGGCTGAGAAGTCTTGCTGGATGGAGTGCACTACCTCCAACCTGCCTGCTACCAGCACAAATTCTCCCAATGCCAGTCACCTGAAGCAAATTATGCCAATTTATCCTCATTCTTTGTTTTCACTCCATTTTGAACAGGCCATTACTGAAATGTCAGGTTTGAATACAACAGGAGTGCCAAGAGGCAGCAAGGGAGAAATAATAAACTTTAGGAAAAAATTGAAAAACTTTGGGCCCACAAGTCCTTCCTCTGGTCTGAAACAGGCAGCAGGTACTACCTGAGGAGGTTCAGCAGTTCTTCAGATGTGCTTTTTACACTCTACACTATTTAAGAGGCTTTGCCTGCTAAATCAAAGGCCGAGACAAATAAGAACAATAAACAAAAGACCCCAAAAACATCTCAAAATAAGTCATGGTCCTCTTCCCTTTCTATGCATTTTTTTCCCAAAACCAAAAAAATCATGAAGTTGCTGCTGTACCTGACCTGCAGCAACGCATTGAAGTGCTCTTGGAGAAGGGACAAGGTGTGGAGGACACGGTGCCACCACAAAGCTCTCTGCCCTCCCTGCACGGCCTGTGGTGGCCATGAACATGGCTGCTCCATGTGGCAGCCTGGCAGGGGCAACACCACAAGCGCTCGCTCTGGCTTTGCCGAGCAGATCCAAACCAAACAGCCTTTCCCAGGGTGCTGACAATGACATCTTCATTCGGTGCCATGAGCGGAGCAGGAGCTTTAGCCACTGTTTGCTCATGTAGCGATGTGCCAAGCTCTCGACCCTGCAGGCCCCTGGGGTGGGCCACACTGGGATGGCTTCACCAGGGTGCAGTCATCGGCACCCCCTGGAGATGCCACCTGTAATATGGGTGCCTTCTTTCATGTGTTCCCCCGATGTGGAGGCTGGGGAACACAGCAATAGGGATTTCTGCTCTAAAACCTCTGCCTGATGTCCTCCAGGCCGAGGTGGTCACAACACTGAGGTGTCACACTGTGGATAAAATGCGTTCATGACCTCCCGAGTTTTACTCTTCAGTTTAGATGTGCAATGAGGGAGATGGGGAGAAAGGGCAGTAAGTACACTTAAATTAACACACCATTTACCAAACTCGACATTAAAAAATAACAAGAACAGTGCAAGTGACTCCATGCTGAAGTATTTCCTCGCTCTGAATCATTTCTTACCAAACCTAGGGATGAATCAAGGGCAGCCAGCATTGGCCCTGGGCATATGGTAACCCTAACAGCGCTCTGCGTGACACCCAAGTGGCTGCAAGCCAACAGGAATGCCTGTGCCACCTTACAGATCATCTCCAGGCTGCTTTTGGGAAGCCTGGCCTGCAAGTAGTTTGGTAACGCATGTGTACACACGTAGGACAGACACATTTCAGCTGCATTTCAGGACAGATCGCCCTGCTCGGCATCTGGTTCCTCAACTCCCTCTTAAACAGCAAATGTAAGTTACCAACATCTTGACGAAGGCCAAGCCCAACAATTTAGCAGTTGCCTCTCTTTATTTCTTTTTAAAGACCGCGCTGAATCCCGATGGGATTTGGGGGTTTTGTTTTAATGGCAAGGCAAGAATTCGCTGATCCTCCCCGTGGCGAAGTTACTTTCAAGTCAGGGAAAGTTCTTGGCCCACGATGAAAAGTCTTTGCCAATTAGCGCTCAACAACCTCAATTCATTCCTCCTGGTTCAAGATGAGTAGGAACCTAATAAGGCTGCGATAAAAGGGCAAAAGGCACCGAGTACCCAAAGGGGATTAATGGGCTCTTCCATTTATTTGTCTTCCCAACAGCTGAACTGTTACAAGTATTGACGGTCTTCAAACGGCCCCGCGCCCAACGCGGCCAATGGCCACCTCCAGCCCCCCAGCCCCACGGGGCGAGGGCTTCCCCCTGGGCGATGCCAAAACCAACAAAGCCCCGGGGATCAGGTAATGAAACTTCAGCTTTTCCCCCTTTGAGATTTATTTACTGGCAGCTGACAAGGGGCAAATTCAGCTCGGATTGTGTAGTCAAGGCCCTGTCAAGCCTTCAGAGGCACCCTTATGTCGAATCACCTTCCTGACTGGCATGTCGCTGAAAAGCCCTCGGCGCTGGTCCTTAACAGCTCCCGACAGCACAAAGGACACTCCAGACAGATGCCTACATGGCATCCTGCAGCATTTTAAAAGAGAATTAGTGGTTTTAATTATGGTCGTCGTATGAAAGGAAACCATGCAAGCTCCGCAGGAGACCTTTGATCAAACCCTTTTGCTAGCACAATGCCGCGGAACTGTGACTATTCCTAGCAAGGGGCCTTTTCTCGCTGAATGACTCACCAGTGATCTTTGAATGCAGACAAGTTCCTCGCCCTCCCTCTTCATTAGCGAGCATTTCTATACAGGCCCTATATAGTGCGCCGAGTCTAGGAGCTATACAATGGGGGGGAAAAAAGAATCCCTACAGATTCTGGCCTCTACTTAGGAAGTGCTGAAGGACTCTGAGTGACTTTATTCATTAAAACAGGTTGCTATTAATTAACTGTCATAATAAAATAAAGAACTATTATTTGCATTTCTTAGTGCACTCCCTTTAGTAATATGTATAAAAGATGCTTGTAACAAAAATGAATTTATAAGGGAGGAAAAAACCTCTGAAGTCTCCCTCCTCCCCCCCCCTTTATTTTTTTTTTAAGGTCTAGGCAGCAGGAGTCTGACTAATTATTAGGACCAGTTCTGCGAGAGAACAAATAGAGGTAAAACACAAATATGAAAGTAATTAGGAAAATGCAAAATCCTGTTTACTTGGCAACCAATTCATGCAACTGAGACTAACGAAGAGCAAATCAGCTTTGCTTGTTTGATAAACTTAGGGGTGCCACCTAAGAGGAGCTGATAAAAATTAAACTTCTGCCAGCATCCCTCAGCACTGCCTTGTAGCGAATAGGCTTAAAAACATGCATGCAATTGGTTCATCTAAGAGCACAGGCAAATCTAACCTGAACAGATTCACAGGAGGAATTTTCTAACTTCTGTTAAACATTTCCACCTTTGCAGTCGACCATCGGTGATACCTCGGAGCTGAACACCCAGCACAGACACCCATGTTGCATGCGCACACAACTCATACAGACACAGTGCTGGCGAATGGCACAGTCGCAAGCATTTCTGGTCTTGTTCCCTAAAAAAACATCCTGTTCCTACTGCTGTTCATACCTGGGAAGGCATTTTGCTAGTGGGAAAGTTCTGCTCGCAGTTTGTGTCGCTGCTTATTACAATGTGCCACGATACGTTACTTGAAGCAGACTGCAGGCTTAGATACCTTTGTAGAGCCTCTCTTTTCTCCCGAGCAGATAGTGGAATCCACAAAAGCTTCCAATTATTTCAAGACTATGCAGCTGAGGAGGGGCATCTAATCAAGATAAAGAAAACCCTTGGCTCAATATATTTGCTTGAAAGGATTTTCAATAATGCAGGTAACAAAAGCATTCAAAAATTGGATTCCTAATGCTTTTCTGCTAGACTGAAGGGCTGATTTTGAGAAGTGAGAAGAAAGCCAGCCCTGAGAAAGCTGCATGGAGGAATGTATGATGCTCTCTCCCTCTGTACAAACACTTCTGCAGGAATTGACAAAAAGGAAGAGATTTAAGTGAGGCACAGTCGATCTGAAATGTAGTCAATTGCAACACAAAGAGTTAAAATGACAGCCCTGTGCCGCTCTTCTTCACTCTCCCCTCTGCTTTGTGGCTTTGCAATCCAGAGTTTTATTTTTTTTTTATTGCTCATTTCTCATCCACTGTTTGGACAGGAATTGTTTATAGGCGAACAGGGGAGAAATCACCCTGTGAAAATAAATCGGAATGAAAGGGAGAAAAATGAAGAAAAATACAAGAATCCTAGACAGCAGCTTGGTTTTTATACATACAGCACTCAATGAAAAGTGCTCAAGTTTTCCTACAATGAGGTAGAGGGCCAACAAAAAAAGTCATCTACTCTTAAAGGGATCTATTAGGATTAGTAACCGCATGAGCCTAAATCTGCACCTACATGCACGCACTGGCAGAGAGCACAAACACAGCACTCAAAAGTAGAAACTGAGTCCTACAACAGAGCATCCCCATGCAGCACCTCTCGCTCCCATGCATATCTTGCTTGCACATCCTGCTTGATAATGTGATCCTTATGGAAGTCCTTCCTTCTCTGAAAAGTTTCCTAACCCAAATGCAGTCCTGGACTGTCAGCAATTTCTCTCCCCTAACACTACTGCACTGAGATTTCAGAGAATGGCAAAGCAAAGTACAAAAATTTTGACAAATGCGCATTTCCACAAGAGCTTGGTGTCTTTTTTAAGCCTTTCAAAGAATCATCTCCATTTTGAAAGACAAGCTATTTTATGTCATTTTGGGGAAAATAAGTAGCTGAGCCACCTGCTGCATGTGTCCCCAGTGGGTCATGTCTGCAGCACCCCATGGTAGAGGCACAGCCAGGGCATGGAGCATATCTGAAACAGCACGTGGTCACACCCCCACAAATGACCACACACTTGTCCTGATGGAAACCTACCTAACTGCACTGCCCTGTGACCATAAAAATGCACAAACTAAAGAAAAATGTCTGTACAAGCCTTTGCTTAATGACTGACTGAAGAAACATTAAAAAGCTAAAAACACTTTTTGCATCTCTAAAGGATGCTGTATTCATAAACAAAATTAAAAGCTCTCCATAGTAGTAGAGATTCACGGGTTTCCTTTAGAAGGAAACTCTCCTTTGAAAGCCAGCATTTTATTTAGTGATGAGCTTTCTTCCCCATAGAAAACAATACAAACTGTTCATTTGGCAACGGCCATCAAAGAACAAATAACAGTACGTTCCTGCGGTGGCAAGCCTGCTTGATGTCCTCTTTACTGCTCTTTCTGCTGCCTTTTATAAGTTGTCGATGCCCAACTCAAATTTTTGCTCCTAACTTCAAACATCTCAGTGCTTCAGAAGGTGCGAGGGGGGGGGGGGAACAGGCGCTATCCAGCTCGCCTCTTCAGATCAGCTTTCATTTTCCTCAGCCCCTGCAGCTCCTTCTTCAGGTGTTTCACAGCCTGCAGGATATCCTGCCGCTGGGGATCGTCTTCTGCTCTCTCAGTGTACAGGAGGAAATGTTTAACAGTTTCAGAGAGCAGCACCTCGGGATCCACGTCCACCTGATGGAGACGCAACATCCTCTCGCAGGCTATCGCGTAGTTTTTGTGCCAGTTCACCGGATGATTTGGATGAGAGTTGACAATTTCTTTGTATGACTGTTACAGGGAGGGAAAAAAAGGGCAAATTAATCAAACAAAGGGGACCAACAGCTTTTAACAGTGCTTCAAAACTGTCCATAAAGGAACAGATGCTATTTAGATGTCTACGCCCAGAGTCAGAGGATTTCTGAAACCTCACTCTGTGTTTGCTGTGTGATGTGTGACAGAATGAATCCAAAATCCAACTGGGAGCTGAATCAGTTCCTTTTGTGGAGCAGATGTATGTTTAGAAACATTACAGATGACCGAAATAACCCCCGGGCACATTATGCCCTTCCCCAGGAGAAGGGTTACACTGGGCTGGGGAAAAAGATTTCACTGCTGCCTCTGGAAAAAAACATTTACTCAATATTTCAAGAAATAAGGACATCTTCAACAGGACTTGAGCAGTCTTTTGAGTGGCAATATTCACAAGCTCAACATCAGGCACAATGCTGACAACACTGCAGAACAGAACAGCAAAAATCACAACATAAGAGGCAAATGTTTAAAGGAAACTATTTGTAGGCTGTTTGCTGGGGTATAAAACACTCCTCCTCTCTGCTGACACACACTGATCGTTTTGTGCATCTGCTGGCATCTCTGGCAGTACAATATTTATAGAGATACCTCCACCAGCTTACGTATGTCATTCTTTGCTGTGAAATGCAGCAGAATTAATTTGCAGTGAGAAGACTGTCGGATTTTACACTTGCTGGCTCAGATGCATGACTGTGTAATGACAGAGAGGACAAGTGCATAGAGGGGACTTCAGGACAGGCAATCTCTTGGCATGGGTTTGGAGCCCAGCACAGACAACATAATTATAGCAAAAGGAGGGTGTCAACTGGTTAGCTTTTGGCATCTTCCCTGACCGAGAGGGCAAGCAGGAACGGATAATATCCCTGAACAAATCTCTTTGAATCTGCTACGCTCCTGGTTTGGATGGATGAGAGAGAATGCAGATTACAGGACAACCCACCTCTATAGATACACCGTGATATTCCCATGTAGTCACGAAATTAAAAACAATAAAAAAGGACGAATACTGCAGGGAGCATTCGTAGCAAAATACATGACTTACAGTGTATGCCAACGTGTAAAGCTGTGATTTCATTTCTGCAGTCACACTGGCAGTTTCTGCAAGGTCAAATATAAAGAAAGCTGTTTTCATCCTAGGAGAACAAGAAAAAGGTCCATTATACAAACTGCTTAACATAACCAGCTCACATCTCATGATTACACACATCTTCAGTGCGTCCATAAAGCCCTTTAATTGTACGGGACAGCACACAAGCTTTTTTCAAATCAGTGACACCACTACAATTTCTTTCCACGGTGTGTCTGAACTACCTCTGTTCCTCCAAGATACTTTGAGCAGAGCCTTCAGGTGAACAAAACCATTGCTTGCCAGAGGCAATACACCCTTCATCTCATTTGGCCCATCTTTTCCTCCTGAAGCTTGGCTCGTTTAGATCCAACAAGGCCATGCACCATCAAGCTGCCCACTTTGGTGTGTGTTTCCACGCCAAGGAGCTGGCATTGCCCACCAGCTGTTGGAGGGGAGCAAAGGAGCATCACCTGGCTTGCCACATCTCCTCGTTGGCGACAGCTTCCCAGGAAGAGGGCTTGAAACTAAACGGAAATTAAAATAAAATCCAGCCATCAGATCCACGTCACTGTGTTTAGCCCATCACACAATCAGTCCTTACAACCCAAGCAGCTACAGACCTCCCAGGCAGAAGAAAACCTCTCGTGAAGCCTATGGCTCTGTGACAGCAGAGAACTGAGCTGATCCTCAGTCATTCATAAAACTTTATTCCTCTTTCTGCACCAGGGGAGCCTCTGGTGCTCAAATTGGTTGTTTGACAGCATCCCAGCTAGGCACGAAGTGAGAGATATTTTTTACCATCCATCACAGCTCAGTCCGTGACATTTAAAGCTTTAGATGTCCCACGTTCTCAGTGTTTTTTGGCTCCCAATCAAGTTTTAAATAAGGATTGGACCTGATAATTCACTAGAAATGTCCTCTCTATTTTAACTCTACCAAAAATATCACAAGCAGATTTATTTTATGTTCCAAAACAAAACATTATGATTATGGTTCATGTTTAGTTTCTCTAACACTGATGTGGTTACACTGCTGGCAGAAGAATAACGAGCAGGAAGGAACAGGGTCCTCTGCCTCTTACCTCCCATAGTCTTCAGTCCAGTTATAGAGATTCCTTGTGAGACGAATCCACTCTCCTGGGTCAAAGACAGCATCAGAAGGAACCAACTTTTCACAGGTACCCCACGGCCAAAGAGAGTAACTCCTTCTCCAGGTGGAGTCCCCTTCATGAAGACCTATGCAGACAAACACTTCCTTACTGCCAAAAAAAAAACACACAGAGGGGAATTGTGAAGCAGACCTTGGGCAACCCCACATGCTCAAGCAAGCCACCCACCCCACATCAGTGCAACGGGCAGGACTTAAGCCACACATTTTCTGGGGCACAGACACCCACCCAAACCATCTCACGTCGGAAGGTGCACATCTCCAGGTCCAGCTACAAAACAGATCCCACGCTGCAAATAAGGACCCCATCCAGTATTGCACATCTGTGCAGCCAGCACAGGAGATACCCCCAGGGAGATGTCCTCTCTCCCCTCTGCTGGACCTCACACACGTGCCAGAAGCAGGAGGAGAAGCCCATTTCTTCCTGATGGCACTTGCCCGTGCTCTTCTGCCTACCCACACTCGCAAGGCTCAACCCAGTTAGTCTAAATGCAGATGCTATTCTTATTCATGTGAGTATCTAATCCTTTCTCCACTCTTACTAAGCTATTTTTATACGATGATTATTCGTGGAATACATTCATTCTATGCTAATCACTTGGCCACAACGCTCACCAAGGAGAAGCTGCAGTCATTTGCTCTCCAACTATCATCATTTTGAGTATATAGGAATGCTTCTTTTTTTTTTTTGTGATGAATTGTCGGTGAAATCAAAACAAAAATTGTAAATATTCTCTGCCAATCACCTTATTTTTCCTTCTTAAAATCTAAACCTACCTCAATACAACAAGAATATTTTATCTTGCTCAACAAGATATAATATTGTTCAACAATATTGAATGTTATATCTGGATGGAGTTACTTCTGCAGAGATATTTGCTTTAATTGTAAAAATAATCTCACCACCAGGGAGGATGTCAGCAGAGAAAATTGGTCTTTAGGATGCAGTACCAGGCTGTTCCATAAACAATTTCAAGAAAAAAGGGTTGAAGATTTTAGGAAAGCTGTTACATACGAAAGAAATGCTTACTGTTTATTTACTTTGAGGAAACGATGGAGATTAAAAGTTCGTGTCCCATCGGGTAACACTCCTTCCACAGGATTCCACCGGTCCCCAGGAAAAGAGACACCGGGTAAATGCTTTGCCAGCTTGGGTAAATACCATTCATAAGTCATCATCTATCACCAAAAACATTACCACAGTTAGAACAAGAAGCAGTTTTCATCCATTTTACACCCAGCAGCTGTAGAAATGGTTTCTGTACGAGCAATGACTCCATTTACACAGTAAGGGTCACCTCCCATTTCAGCAATGGCTTTCAATATCAGTTTCTGAACGTACCTCCTGGTCCACTAAGGTGACATCTGGCCTCACTCCTTCGCAATAATGAAGGTAACGAAGGGCGTTCCCGGGTAAATCTCCTCTGAGCAAGACCACTGCACCCATCGGCATAGAGGACAGCAGGTTTCTCGCAAAGTTGTCAACAATATAATTGGTGCTCTGATCACAGGTGCTTAAGAGAACAGATGAGAAAGAGCATCTTACAACTAGGCATCTGCGTGCCTTTGCCCATCTTCAGAATAACTTTATGCATTTGGCATCCACAGGTGAAGCCCTTCTTGTGGTCAGATCCTGCTGAAAATCATCACCTCCATTTACAGAAAAAAAAAAGATATAAAAATGAAGCATTTAAGACTACAGTGCCTCAGACACCATCACCAGAGGCATGTCATGACATTTTTGCCAAAATACACAACCATTGCATGGATTCACCTTCATTCTGACTTTTTCCTGGGCTAAACCTAAAGATTTACTAATTGGAGCTGGAATTGCCACTACAACAATGGCTCTAAATATTAGAAATCCTCCTCACCCTTTTATTGCTGTTGATTAAGCAATAAGTAGCCATGTTTTTGTAGCACCAGGTAGAAGGAGATTTACATTTCTTGAGATGAGATCCTTTTTGGTTCTCCATCATGTGCACGCACACCAGCATGTACACTCAAGAGCAGGATGCTCTCCTGCCCGTGCACCATACTCTTCACCAGCTCATCAGCCTCTATGTGAGCACCCCTACTACTATTCTGATTTGTACCCAGACCACAGCAGAACCTTCAGCGTGGTTATGGAATAAGGAAGCCCTACAATACAGATTCTAACTCGAAGAGGGAAAAAAAAAGTAAGAAAAAGTCCTGGGTAGAAGGAAATCTGCAAGGGAAGGAGAAGGTGACTGCTTGGGATAAATCAATTCTGTAAGCACTGGGCAATAAGGCAGAGATTCAGGGGTTTCTTCCATACCAAGCTTAGGTATCTACATCATTTTCTTCCTTCAGCCCTGACTTACAGCCTGAGGTTGGTACTTGGTGGTTCTGAGGGTGTTCAGACAAGGGACTGGGGCAGACTCCACGCCCCAAGTCCATGACCACGGCTGCTTCGATGGGCACCTGGACTCGTGCAGGTTCCAGCAGCACCCAACCACACAGCATCCCACAGCCCTGGGGACTCCTTACCTGTAATTTGCCCAAATTTGAGCACCAACAAGAGCCACAGCAGAAAGCCACTCCAGCCACGGCAGCGCCCGGCCACCCTCCAGCACGGCACCGGCGAGGGACACGAGGATGGGCAGCCCCAGCCCCGCCAGCACAGCCACGACAGCATTGCTCTGCATCCAGAAACGCTCCACCTAGGGCACAAACACAGGGCATGTACCTCCTGCCACAGGATGCAGGTCCAGGTTTTCAGGGTAGGATGGTCTCTGGGCTGAGAAGCTCACAGTTTAAGAGCAGACAGAGATACGCAGAGGTTTTTTTTTGTTTGTTGTTTTATTTTTTTCCTTCCTTTTAAATACAAATCATCCCTCTAAATTCCCAGAGACCACATCTCTGTTTCCCCAGCTATAAGGAAACAGAAAATGTAGCTGCATGCTCGCACCCTGTGCGGCTCCAAGACAACCACCTGTTCCTGATTAGCTGGGGAAGCAACAGCAGCCGACAAAGCCTGAAGGAGGCTTCTTCCAAAATGTAACACCCCAGAGCAATTTTCGGAGTGAAACTTACCACGCCCAGAAACAGAGGCTTTGTAACATCCAAATTTGCTCTCCAGGCAAAGAAGAGAGAATAAACACACAGCATTCCAGCGAAGAGCCAGATCACAGAGGACTTCTGTTGCCTTCTCCTATAAAAAATAATACAGCGCTCTAGTGGCGTGATCAAAAAGTAGGAAAAAAGTTGTAGGCACTTGAAGGTAACTGTCTCTCCTGCATGCTTAAATGAATTTAATTCAAGCAGCTGCTGGGTCTTTACCTTTGCAATTTATGAAACCTTTCCAAAGCACACAACCATCAGAGTTGCAAGCTTTTTAAGCCTGCGGTCTACAAAGTCTAAGCGTAACCAGGTGCAGGGCTATTTTGCTCTTTATCAATAACCAGAACAGGACAACTGCTGGAATTTCTGCACAGGGAAGCTCCACACACACAAGGCAGAAAAAACAGCCAAAGCTCACACCCAGCCTGTAAGAAAAGCGGCTCAGAGCAAAGAGTCCCCTCCAACTTACGGCAGCGCTGCGCTCAGACAGGCCACGAGTGCCAGGGCGAGGACAGGGAGGGAGAGCTCCGACCTCATCTGCGCCAGCTGGGAGCTGTGGAGAAATGAAGTGCACGTCTGCATCACCCCGAAATCGCTGCCAACACTCTGAGAGTAGCAAGGAGCAGGGCAGAAGGACAGCATAACGCATCCCTGTCCTAATGGGATCAAGTCTACCAGGAATGGGAACAAGCTGGGTTTACATGCCAGGATTTTGGATGAAAAAATTGCTGGGGAGGGGATCGAGCACTGTTCCCTCAATAGGAGGACAGCCAGACATGCACTGTCCTGGTGCTGGGCATGCACAGCCCCAGCTTTGGAAGGAGAAGACAGGCAGGAGAGGAGCCACCTGGGCTGAGAGCACAGTGGTGGTGACAGGTTTCTCCCCACTGCAAGGTGAACTCGGGGTTTTACTCACACCAGCATCTCTCTCATACTGGATCCAGTCTCCGACTTGGCCTGGATTAAAAAGAAAGAGAACCCATGAGAAGCCCACACGCTGACTAATGTGTCACTGGGGCAAGGAAAAGCTTTTTTGTTTTCAGTTTGCAGAGCCCCCAGCATACAGGGCTCCTCCAAAACCCCTTCAGGTGGTGCCAGAGAGTGGGCACAGGGAACAGGAATTGCTTAAACAAAGAGAAAAGCACACGGGCCTCAATTCCTGCCTGCTTACCAGCCTTGCTCATGGCCCCTCTGCACTCACAGATCTGTACAGATATATGAGTTTTTTTTCATTGCAGAGACCTGCACTCCACGGCACAAGCCTGAGAAACAAGTGGTGCGTGGTGGAGAAGAGAAACTCCTTCCTAGATGCTTGCTGGAAAAGTGGTGACTACCAGATATAAGGGAAAGTGGATCCAGCAGGTCTGGAAGGAGTATTTAATCTCGATAAAAATGTTTTTTTGACCCTGCATGCCCCTAAAACAAAGCAAAGCCCCTCCCTAGGACCTGTCTGTCCATCCAGGCAGGGCTCTGGCATTAGCCCAGCTGGCATTGGGACCAAACGCTTGGATTTTGCTGCATTTACTGCTCCAGCTTCAGACCAGTTCATCGTAAATGTGATTTACGGGGCAGGATTACACGCGGTCCAGCCCTAAGCCGCCTGAACATCAACTTGAATTCATCACATCTGATGGAGACAGGAGTTAAGGGATTTGCATGCCCAGCAGAACCTAATTCTCGGGAGACAGCTGGGAACAGGACAACAGGGGAAGTCTCCGAAGCCCTTCAGAGGGTGGATGTTACCTCTGGAGGAGTTTTGGAAAGATTTGATTTGGATTTATCAAATCTTTTCCCTCGCATGCTACAGCTACACAGCTCTCAGGGATGGCTGTGGGAGCGTTCCCTGGAAATGGCAATGGGGTGCTCGTGGTGTGTCACCAGCTGGAGGCAGCTGCTGCAGGCACAGGACTTCATTTCTGAGGATGCTGAGGACCCCAAAGAGTGACAAGATACATAAATCAGACCTCTTTCTGTTCTCCCAGCCCTCCGCACTGAAATCTCTGAAGCAGGATGGAAAGAAGGGGTGCTGGGCATTGCTTTCTTTGGGTGGCCAGCGCCAAACATCTGAGTTAGGGCTGGAGGAGAGAGATGCAAACCCTACACCCTGCAGAATCACATCACACCTCCTTCCCTTTGCAAGAGCACAAAGCAGGCAGAATAATCCAGAGCAGAGGATTCTGAGATCTCCCAAACCTACCACTCATTTCGATAAAATATTCAATGTCAATAAAATATTTCAATGAAATATTACTAGGAAGTAAGCTAGAGGAATATCTTTTAAAGGTAAAGCAAGGAAAACTGCTTGCAACCTCTTTAAATAGCTATTTAAAATAAAATAAATAATAAAAAAGACAATTATTTGTCTTAAAACAAGAAAAACACAAAATTGATGTCACCATTTCCCTCTAGCAAGGCTTTCTCTTTTGGCTTTTTGAAATATGAGACATCTGTACAGTGTCCAGTAAATAATACAGCTCACACCACTAAGACATCTGATCCATACCCAGAAACTCCGACAGATCAAAAGGTCAAAATCAGAAATAAACATTTAAAAAGTAAATTATTTTCCATTTCTTAGCCAAACTATTTAATGTCATGAACAGAAAGCTCCTGCTACCGCATATCTCAAAAGAAAGCCATTTAGAAAATGACCCGTATTTACCAGACTGAACGTCCCATATTCCTCCCTGAGAAAGTGGGTCAAAAATCCTTGAAAAGTCGTCTGGTCTCCCCATGTCCAACGGGCTCGATTGAGGTAGGACGAAGCCGGCAGATAGAGATAAGGCAGCAAACCAGCCAAGAAGCATAAACCCAACTTCAGCAAATGGCCTAGGGACAATTCCTGCACCAAAATATGTCATATTGCATAACAATGTTTATTTTAGTTTAATCGTGCTGGAACTTCAAGAACAGATAAAGAAAAAACATCAAATATATTTACACAGAGCTGATCTCTCAATTTATAGTAAGTCCCTACAAAATGCTATGTTAAACCTTACGATTTTGTGGATTACTAGGAAACTGCATCAAACTGATCTCCTTTGCATGGCAGGGTGAAATTTAAGTGAAGCAAATAATATTAGCTAGGACTCATGAGTATCATACTCATTGCATCTTTCACATTTAAATCATGGCATGACATGCATAGATGGCTGAAGCACTGCAAGGCTGAGATAACCCACTTTGCAGCGATTAAGAGTTGGCTGGTATTCCATCTGGCAAAAAAAAAAAAAAATGCTGCTCTAGTACAACTACACGCATCACCACCATCATCAGGAGTCGGTTTTGCCATTTACTTTATCGTGATTAGGCTGGCTAAATTGGATAGGCCAACTTTTGGGGTGGGATTTTCAAGACTGCCTAAGGGGTCAGGAAGACAAGACTTTCAAAGGGACTTGTGTGCCTAACTCCTTTAAGTGCTTTGGAAAATCCCACCCCGGAATATTGCACGCTTGCTTTCTCATCAGGCACCGTCCTGCCAATCAAAGCACTCCCTTCAGAATTTGGGGTGATGTGGAAGAGAGCCCATTCAGAGCGACGACCTCCAGAGCAGAGAAAGTAGCTCGGTAACGTCGCCGGTCAAAAATTCCTTTAGAAGCCTGGCTCTTTTTTGTTGGTTTCACTGAAAGCCACCATTTTTGATCGATTAACCTCTTTTTAGGTGGTGGTCTGCAGCAGGGTCTACTGGGCTGGTGTCTAGGTAGGGTGTTTCCCAGTGATGCCATATTGGCACAGCATTCTCCCTGCTGGAAATCACAGATGTCTCTCCAGGCCTCCCTGGTTGTGAAAAAAGCTCCGTTTAAAGATCACAAATGCATTTCCATCATTTTGTTATGGGAAATACGAGGTCAGGAAGGCTTTTGCTGGACATGCTGACCTCTTGGACCAAGCTTGTCTGAGCTGCCCCTATTGCAGCTGGTGGGTTTCACTCCGGGCTCAGCTCTGAGCTGTGCATCCCATCCAAGATGTGCAGCCCTTTTCAGAGCAAAGCAGGGCTTCTGCAACACGTCAGCATCCAGCCCAACACAGCCACTTGCAGAAGACCACCTACAGGTGACAAAAGCATTGCAGGGCACCTGGACATCACTGGGGGCTTCATCCAGATGGATCTCTAGGAGTCCTCCTAGAGATCAGCACCTGCAGCACCCTTCCTGCCGTGCCTACCTACTGTGGCTACGTCTTCAACTACTGACACCAATCATGAGATGTGCAACAAGCAGAAGTGGGTTTTGTGGTCCCACCAGGGAATCAACACACAAACTCATCCCCAGCCATGCAAAAGGCAGTGCCATCAGCCAGGAGAGGCTGCTCACGCCCGTGGCGTCCCACCAACAGGTAGGTACCTGCACTGAACACACTTAGCTCCTGCACACCGAGGAGTTTTAGCTCAGAGTATTGGCCTTGTGGCTGTGTACTGGGCACTTACAAACAGCCGGGGCACTGAGCTCCTGTGCCAGGAGTCACGGGCAGGTCGCTGGTGTGAGCAAAGCCCCTACACTGCGATGGGCTGTAAATTCAGGTGGTTGACTGATGAGTTTGGACAGAATTCCTACTAACACGGTTCGTACATCAACATATAAACAAATGGTTGGAAAAGAAGAATTATTAACGGCCTTAAAACAAGCTAAAACAGAGGCATGGGTCAGCAAAATACGTACCGTCTTCTTGAGCAGCCGGGAGAGAACCCAGGGCACGATACAAGCCACATAGAGCACTATCGTGTGCTGGTTGCACAGGCTGAGCCCGCAGCAAAAGGCACCGAGTCTAGAGATCTGAAAGGGAGAAAACCAAAACCTCACAGTTACTCTTTATCACCTGCAAAAACACCCAGATGCCAAAGCAGCTTGAGCGCAGCCCGCAGCATGCTTAGAGAAGGCAAAGCACATCAGTGAGCACTGGTCGATTGTAACACAGACAACACGGGTTACTTCAGATTATTTTTATGCCACAGAAAAAAATAAATAATGCCACTTTTATGTACAGAGACATTATTTTACATAACAGGAATGATTTTTGACTCTTTTGCAGGCACAGTGGGCTAAAGTCAGGGCCACACAAACTTGCTAAGCCAAGGGAATTAAATGCAGCATCACTGAGTGGTCTGAGATCCCTTCTGAGCATCTCTGAAAGAGTTTTCTGATAAAGGAGGTAACATATCCAGACTCTGCAGCACAGTGCAGGGCATTTCTCATGCTCAATCTTTCTCCTCCTTCTCCATCACTGGCCACTTGGTCCATGTCACACCCTGGAGCCACACTCTGTCCACACTCCTCAATGGGCAAAAAGCCACCAGGGTCCCACAGACATCGTTGGACAGGAGCTGACCGCCCATCAGTCACCAGAGCACTGCCCCTGCTAATTTCAGTCACTGGTGACAATGAAGTGTGTGAGGTGCAAACACTTGCCTTGGCATGGCTGATGGGATCATAACATAGTTTTTAATCGGCTGTTCAACACTGGATGCTGTTTTGTCCCAGGAACACCTGCCAGAACTTCAGAAAAACTTTGTGGGCTTCAGAGCTGCCCCAGCAGGACTCAGGACCACCTGAGTAATTTTTCAAGTACATCAGGTGAATCAAGCAAGCTCCTGAAAATGTCTGAAAGAAAGTCAGATTTACAAAAAGTGTCGCCAACTCGCTGTTTGTAGTCTGGCCTCTTCGAGGTGTGTGATGCTGGCCACCCAGAGCATGGAAACAAGCTCACTGGCTGCTCCTGAAAACCTCACCTGAAAATCCAAATGGAAATTGGGCACAGCAACCACAGGAGCAGGTCGGAAAATGCCCCAACTCCATCTTTGTGGAGCCCAGGGTCTTGGGGCAGAAGTGACCAGAAAATACAAAAGCCCGATGATGAAACAAGGCCTCCATAAGCCAGTGATAAAACATGTTATTTGAGAATTTGCCAAGCTGAGTAAACTACCACTGTGTGCTCCTGAAATTCCAGGCTAGCCTGACAAAAATCCTTTTATTCACACAACTTAGAGGAGTCACAGCAGGCAAGTCTGTAGGAAGAGAGGAGATCAGGTGTTCAGGCAAATAAAAGTAGAAAGAACAAGGCCGGGGAGCAAGAACACCTTTTGACTGCCGAGTCCGTTTACAAAGTAGAGAACACGGCATGAAATTCAATGTCTCCGTATTTAATAGTGGCATTATTTTAGGGGCACATTTAATTTCAGGAGCATATACATTGAACTGCACAGAACTGATTGAAAATTTGGTCGTTTCTGTGTTTCATTAGAAACCTGGGCTTCTGAGTTGATGAATTTTCCTGTATGATGCATCTATTTGCCCTCGGGAACATCACAGTTCTGACAACAAACCCTCGAACACCCACTGCCTGGTTTGAGTCTTTGATGCAGAAAATTAAACTTTGCACCTGAAACGTTTAGATGAGAATGATTTTGCTTTTTTCTCTTCTATCCCGTGTGTTTAAAACAACAAAAAGCCAAAGCAGATCCAGCACATCCCACCTCAACCCTTAAGGAACGCACACAGATCCTTCAATTTTGGCACTTCTGAGTCCAGGCAGGTCAGGGATCAACACCACCAAGCACAGGTGCTGAACCCAGTCCCCAAATCTGGCCTTTCCTACGTAAAGTAAACTAAATCAATACTAAATGAACAGGAAATTAAACAGACACGTGATGACTAATTGAAAAAAAAAAAGAACTATTCACTTTCCTTGAGATGTTTTACCTTTGATCTCTCTTTTGCAGTGGATGCCTCCTCAAAATGCACGGTAAGAGCCATAAGCAGCCCCACAAACAGATTGTTTAAGCTAAAAACCTCCGCCGTGATGGACCACTGCCATGTTAGACGAGAAAATGAAAACACCCCCGCAGCAAGGATTCCTCCAGCATATGAGCCAGAAAGCCTGCAAACACAGATAACATGAAATCTTCTTTTCCAACAAAAAAGCCTACTTTATTGTCCTTTTTTTTTTTTTTTTTTTAAACATACTGTAGCAGCAGAAATTTTGACTGCTACCCAGCATCCTCCCAAAACATTATATGGTTAATATCTTCCTAATAATTTCCTTGCAGAGAATTGCAATTAGGGAGGGCGCACCTCAAGCCGTCCCGTGTATTCGCAAGGCGCTGAATACCAACCGGCTGGCGAGCCAGGCTGCCTTTTTCTCCTGAAACACCACAAAAAAAAAAAAAACTTAAAGAGTATTCAATTCGGTTCAGAAACCTTGATGAGCAATGACACAGCGGGTCACGGTACGCCGAGCCAGAGAGTCATGCCTCTAACGGGATGCTCTCCGCTGGAGGACACGCGAGCAGCGGTGCAGCCTTAAATTCATCGAGCCCCTGCATAAAGAGTGGATTAGAGCTATTCACGACGGACAGCATTAGCAGAGCTTTCCCGGGGGGAACGTTTGAGTGTCTCAGGGGTGGGTGAGGATTGCGGTGCCCCCAGCCCCAGGATGGAGAGATGCCCACCAGAGCCAGGGAGAGGGGAAAATGGGCGCTGTCCCCAGCTGGATGGGCTACGGCACCCAACTGCAGCCGCCTTCCCAAATCGGCAGGGAGCCCACGAGGTGGGATTTAGCCCAGGAAAACCATTGCACCTACTCTGCCATAATAGCTCTGCCCTTCTGGATGTGTTAAGGGCAGCTCTGGATCTGCTTTTGATTTTTTTTTTTGAAGTGTGGTGGTTTGAGAGGTCTCCCCCGTGAGATGTCGCCCTGAGGAACACCACGCAGGGCACCACAACCGGTCAGTTGGAGACTTGGGTGCCCACACGGGACTTGCTTATGGGGTTTCTCATAGGACACAACTGAAATAAATGGAGAACAAGTCAACAACACCTACAGCCCCTGCAAACAGACGAGGGAGGTGCTGGCACAGCACTCTTGAGCAAGGGCTCCTCTCCTTGGTTACACTTCTCTTCCCACTTTCCTGAAACACCCTAAGCTCTCTCAGTACACTGAAAAGCCAGCACATTTCTGTAGATGTCACAGGAGGACCTGTGCAGACAGAATTGGACATTTTAACCCATTAAAAGTGGGAGGCAGAGTTGATGAGAAGGACTGGACAGAAATAATGGCATGGGATGACCAGTCTCCATTCCTCCTCCTGACATCAGACACCCCAAGTGGCCTGGGGAAAGCCACCCTGCTGCTCCATTAACCACAGAATTAATTGCAAATTAAAGTGACTATTGATGAACCCCATGCCCTACCACGTCTCCCGGGTGCTCCCTAATGCCTCACCACCGTGGTGGACTCTTCCAGTGCTTGAGTTTCGTCAACAGAGGTCTAGGCACTGAGCACAAAAATCTCCAAGAGAAGACCTGTCGCTCACTAAAAGAGGCACTCAGCAAAATAAAAGCCACGTACTGTGATACAGAAATCACTATAGAAGTGTTTTTGGCATTGCTTAAAATCTTCAGCAAACTCGCAAGTGATTAAAGGTGTTAATTATTACAGGTTTTCTACCAGCAGTATCCCAAAGTCGCACAACCTCATAGAGAAGGTGTTCACGAGCACCGATGCTGCTCCGTTGGCTTTGCTACCGAGCCAGCTCAGCACCTCCATCACCTCCAGGAGAGGTGGGAAACACAACAGGTCTTCCTTCTCCTTTAAACAGCACCGAGTTTTACTCAGAAAGAAATAAAATTTGTAAATCCCTCTGAAACTCCTGCAGTGAAATAATGCAGAAAAGGTAAAACAACTTCCCCAAACTCCTTGGGATGAAAAGCAGCTTACTAGGCACAACTCCTGATCGTTTACCAAGACTTCTTGTCTTTCCCAGAAAAGACTCGAGCGCCTTACCAGAGTTCAAATGAGCTTAAGGAGCGCCTGCCCTCTCGATAAAAAGTCTCAAACCTGCGCTTCAAGTTTTAGGAAATGAGGATTAAGCAAAAGCTACTCAACCCCAAACTTAAAGACTTATCCCGGCTGCTGTGGGCAGGGGACAGCTCTGCTCCCCGTCCAGCCACCGAGCTGCACAGGGTCGGGATCCAGCACTGGGCACATCCACAGGTTTTTTCTTAAAAAGAGCTGGCACTGCCTGGGAAACCCTCAGGAAAGCCAGCCAAGACTCCCGTGTGGAAGCGTGTTGTGTGCATGGAGCACTGAGCTCCTACAAGTACAGCAGGTGCTTCAAAAAAATAATAATAGGAACAGGCTGAATTCTTTGAGATCATCACAACAGCAGCTCGGAAACTGCAGTTTGGCAAACGCAGGCTGGAGAAGCCAGAGTTTTTTCCAGAGCTCTGCTACTAGCAATGGCAATGATGCACTTACAACTCTGCTGATTCAGAGAAATGGGATTGCTAAGACCAGGTAACCCCAGACAAGGATGAAGGCCCGACCAGCAGAAAATAACACCTCACACAGGTCTGCTCAAAGCAGCAGCTCACGGTACGCAGCAGCACCTGGCAGAAATGAATCCCACACAGCTCTGATACACAATGCTGGGCCTGAATTAAGTCAGGTCTGCCTTGAGGCTGGGCTAACGTGACCAGAATTGGACCTCCCCACACCATTACAACCACCTCCTGGAGGCCCCTTGGGCTCCTCCAGCACGGTGTGGCACTGTGCTGCCCCTCTCTTGTTGTAGAGCCAAGAGGGTCCTCAAAAAGTTGTCCAAGGAGGTGACAATCAGCTCAGGCAGAGACAACACAGGCCCACACAACACTGCAGAGCAAAAAACATTTCCAGGGTGGAGGAGACACTGGTGGGTGCTAAGTCACGTAAGGCAGAAAGACATGAAAAGGCCTGCACGAAGCACATGGAGCACTTCAAAAAAAACAAACAAAAAAAATAAAATAAAACAAGCAGGAGGAAGGTCCCTTCCTATCAGTCGACTAACTATAATCCTGTGAACACAGGCAGAAACTCCCATCATCTTATAACACACTCATGTGGGACAAGATCAGTCAGCCAAGAAGAGGTCACACAGCTCTTTGTGGGAAGCATTTCCCCATGACATCCCTAAACATAAAAGGAAAAGACGAGAAAATTATTTTGTTTTCCTTTTCAGGCACCAGAGTAAAAGAACATGTGCCCAGGCCTCAAGTCCAAGGGCACGGGCAGCACAAACTTGCTGTAGTTGGCAGCATTTAGGCTGCTGCTTGTTGTTAAGAGTTAAATCAACAAGGAAAAATCAAATAAGGTATTTAAATATTTTTTTTGCTTCCGATTTGTGTCTAATCACTAAAACATGTCAACATGCAATCCAAAATTTAGCCTCTGTACTCATTTTGATAAAACTTTTTGTTAGCCAAGAGCATGGGTTACATCCGTCTGCATTTAACCAACCTGATCAACTTGATCGGCATTTTTATTTTTTAATTTAGAAAATAAAGGCTGACATTTCATATTTCATAATTTGCAGGAAGTTATTAAATGATTTGGATAAAGCTATAGAGGGATGAGAACTGAAGCCTAACTGAAATGTTTTAGTAAAATGCAATCTTCAGTGTACTGGGTTCATACAGAAGAAAAGCCAGCTAACCAAAGCTTGTTGTATCTTTGAAGCTAATGCATTAAACACTGGAAACACCTATCTGTACCTAGTAAAATAAGCTGATTATTTCTTCCTTCTTTTTCCTCCGAAACTTTAGAGGTAGCAAAATCTTTAAAAAAAAAATAAAAAGAACTAGTGATTCAAGAAACAACTCTCCTGCTTTTAAACACCTGCTCCAATGAATTATTTTTTTTTTCCATTTAATTTCCCCCTGTGCATGCAGAGGATGACCTTACTGTTGGTGCTCCAGTGGCACTTGCACAGGCTGCAGGTGCATCACCAGCAACTTCTGCCTCTGCACTGCTGTAGCAAAGGTATATCATTTGAATATGTTTATTTCATGGTATAATAGACCAGAGCATTACAGGTTTAATATTTCAATTTTTTTTAAGTGGTTTCACTTGTTTGGTTTATTAAAAAAAAATACTTTTTTGATGCAGATTAAAGAAGGATGGGACTTCGAAGACCTTTCATCTGACTTCTCCTAAGTGTGTCTGTGCACTGGTGCTGAAATAGAACTACTTTTTAAAAAGAAAACCAAAACCAAACACAAGTTAAGGACCAAAGAGATGATAATTACCCCCCAAGCCCCGTTCCCTATGGGTTCACTGCCTCTTAGCCACAAGCACTCATTGCCCAAAGCCGGTTCCTCCTGCTCCCAGCACCAAAGAGCCAGCGGGGGACAGCAGGGAGCAGTGACCCAGCTTTCCTGCTGCCTCGGGCACCTTGGGGGGCTCCACGGGCACTTAAACCATGCCCGCAGCCTTCATCCCCAGCACTGGAGGAGGAGGAGGCTGTGAGGAGCTCGGCGTGGCTCGCCCATCCCGCTTGAGTCTTCGTGGCCGTCAGAAGATATTAACACCCAAACAGGCAGGAAAGCCACAAATTAAAAAAAGGGGACAATCAGAATTGGCTAAGGAGCATTGATCCAGCGGGGATTTTGGCTATGGGGAGCCAGTTCCTCCCGGCACCCCATTGCACAGGGCCTCCTGGAGTGGGGGCTTGAGGCAAGGACACCAGCACCGTGGCTCTGTAGGGTAACACCGAGATAAATGCATTTAGGAAATGCCCCGCTGAGTGCTCAGCACTTCCTAGCAAGCCAATGTGCAAACAACCGTGCTTCTAGCCACCAAATCCAGGAGGAAACTTCTCTCCCCATGTCTTTTTTACCAGAAAGGCTAGTTGAGTTAGGCTCGATTCACAAACTCAGAAATCCTTAGAAAATAGGTAGGCTTGATCCCGGGCGCTCATAATAAACGGTGGCTGCTTCCAGCAGCCAAAAAGAATAAAAAAAGAAAAAAAAAAACCCTCTCAGTAGGAACCGGCTTTAGCAATTTAAATGTTTTATAAGTTTTTTTTGTAATTGCAGAAACTTTTCCTAATCTGACATTTGTTAAAACCCCTTATTAGAAATTATGCAGCCGCGGTAGCTGCGGCAAAAAAAAAAAAAAAATTAAAAAAAAAAAAAAAAAAGAAAAAAAAATAGAAAAAAAAAAACTGGAGCTGGCTTCACAATTACCAAGTCAGCCCATGCAGCCCTCCGCTATTGTGCGGGGTGGCATAAACCCCCCGGCGGGCTATCAGCTCCCTGGCAGGCAGGGGGCTGCGCTATTCAAAGCGCGAGATACAAGCTGCGGGGCACAAACCTGGCAGCTCCCATCTGACCCCGCAATCCCCGGCTGGTGACAGCTCCAAGCTCCATGGCAAATTAGGCCTTCTCACATTACAATTGCAGGAGACAGATTCCATTAGCGGTATCTGAAATTGAGTGGAGAGCTGCTCTGTTATCAGACTTGACTCATAAGCGCCGCTATTAATCAGAGCTATGATAGCATTTATATATTTCAAGCTATCTGCTGCCGCTGTGATATTCCGCTACAAAGGGTTGATGGGACTTAGGGAAGTGAACAATAGAGCTTTCTGGGAAAAGCAGAGTAAATCAAGAAAGTCTGTGACTTCCGCACATTCTGAAGGGATTGCGGTTTACATAAATTTTCTCCCAATTGGAGATTGAGCTCTTCCTCATCTTACACATGGGATTTAGTTGTCACTCAATGGTAACAGCTGTGAAAAGGTGAAGCGGCCCACCGCTCGGAATATTGCCTCCGCTTTTAAAGCAATTAACCCATGAACAGGAGGATACCTGGTGATATCAAAGGGATTAAGCCAGGCAGTGCATTATTAACATTTCCTTGAACTAATTCTAACTCTGACTAGCTGTCAGAAAAGACTCTTCAGTCTTAAAAAAAAAAAAAAGAGTTTTTGCCCTGCTTTTTCTCCCCCCCTCTTCAAAACGTTATTTCAGCCGAATGTGCGTACTTTAGAGCAAAATGCAAATGAACGGCTTTGCTAATGGCTTCGAACAGGCTGAACCCCACGCCGTTTTCTTAGGGCTACGAGAAGAGAAAAACACCCGATCAATTAGCCAGGGGTCAGGCTAGATATTCGTCTAAAAGCAAATTAACGCCGCAGTACCTTCCATTCTTTTCTCCCTCCTAAAACTTGGTAGCTACTTGTTACGCGCGCAGAGCTCCTTTCGGAACTGCGTTTTGCTACAATGGCAATAATCTAAAATAATCTGGAATCGGGAAAATCCAAATAAGAAGATTCCTCGCTCCCCAAAGCCCTGGGTTCCCATTTCCCCACGCTTCGCCGACGGCCGAGGGGGCAGCGGAGCGCGCTCGAGGCTTTCCGCCCTCGATGAACACCCACAGCCCTGCTCTGTAATCCCCTTCCCGCAGCGTTTCGAGCTGCCCGGGTCCCTGCCGAGGATGCTCTGGGGTCGCTCTGCCCGAGGAACGGCACCGACACCCCTGCAATCCCCCAAAGCCTGCCCAGAGAGCGAGTCGAGCCGCTGGTGACAACCCGTGCAGCTCCCCGGTGGATCCCAAGGATGCCGAGGAGCTCCCCATGGGCAGCAGGAAACTTTTTCCAGCGCCGGTTTTAGGGGAGCACAACGCTGGCTGCGGGGTGGCTGGCGACTTCCACGCGGGGTTTTTCCTCCGTTCAGCCACGAGCTCCCTCTGGGAAGAGCTCTGTCCTCCTAAACACCCGGTCCTTCCCGTGGGAGCTCCAGGAATGGCAATGCCAGAGCAAGGAGGCTCAGGACGGCGAGGTGCCGCTCCCAAAACACCGCTGTCATTCCACCAAACACATCCCCACCGCTCCCCTGTGTTAGGGGGGGAGAAGAGCAGGCTACGGCTCAAACACAGCCCCAGCTTGTTGCTTACAGACTGGTTTGGGGGGCAGTGATGTGCTAGATATATTCTGTTTTGTATATGTACCATAAAGGTCCCAAATTTAACGCAATAAAGGTCCCAAATTTAACACGATACCCAGCACAGCAAGGGAAGAGAAGCGAGGCGCTCCGTTCCACGCAGCATTTTTCTCCTTTTCAAATCCCAAACGCAACTCAGAATAAAGCTGGAAAAAATTACCCCAAGTCCTTCGGAAATGCCACCTCCTGCTCTACCACTGCACCTGCAATAATTTAGCTTCGTATGGTTCCGTGGAGCAAACCAGCCAAGCTATGGAAGGTGGAAAAACTTGCACGTAAAGCAGGGCAAAGCAAACTATTTCTCTCCGCAACGGAGAATGCGAAGAACGCATCATCTGTGCAGAAAATTACACTTTGGCAATCATATTATAAGAACATAATTGGTTTACTTTGTAAACTTGCTATGCTTTGCCTCCCACAGTAAAACAAATAAATATTTGTTTAAGGAAACAATCCTAGAGTCGCACTCGCTGCGCCCTACAAACATAATGCCGCTCGCCCGCCTTTCAAAGCGGAGACGAATTATTTGCATCAGTTACAAGCAGCCTGAGCAAACTCTTTGTGAATGCCATTTTACGATAATTACAAGCGATTTCTTAAGACCGCGCGGAGGGGAAAACCATATTTGATAACTAATTCAAAAGGAGCAACGCGCTCGTTCGGGGATAGCCTGGATTACTGACAAAAAGGGCTTTTTTTTTTTTTTTTGCGGTCCAACGCAACTTTGCTTTGAGAAGCCGTGCTTAAAAACGAAGGGAGCAGGAGCCAGGGCTGCTTCTTATCGACCCCGCAGAGCATCCCAGCACCGAGTACCTGGGCGAGGAAAGAGCTGGTTAAGGGATAAACGCGCCGAGCGCCGTCCGGTCCTAATCCCGCACGCGCAGCGTTGCCCTAAATTGCAGTAACTAAGAGGGAAAATAAACTGTCCTGACCCACCGGCGACTAAAGTCGGGAAATGGCACTTAAACAAACGCCGGGCACAAAAAATAAACGGGCTAAAAGGAAGAGATTTACTGTACGCAGAGGCTGGGAAACGCGGAGAAATCCCCCTCCCCGCCCCGCCGCGCTGGTAAACAGCACCCGTGCCCGGCTGGTGGGTTTGCAGGCAGAAAAGAAAGGTTTTAGAGGTTAAGTTCAGGTCAGACGACAAATGAAATTGTAACAGCCCAAGTGACATTGTATAATGTCTTCTTCCACTCAATCAATAGGGCACTGTGAGCCCCATTACCATAGAGATGGCTTCCTCCCTTCTGAAGGGTGTCTATTGTTTGACGAGAGAGATTTGCCACTTGAACCGTGTTGCTCCCCAAGGATGTGTACTTCATCAATTATTTGTGCTCCTAACATCTACATATTTTCATATTAACGTCCCCAGCGCTCGCCGCGGCAGAAGGAGCGGCAGCTCGTTTTTTTTTTTTTTTTTTCCCTCTGCTACTGAAGGGCTTTCAGGGGTCACCCCGGCAGCTAAATTTTAATTAAAGCACCCAAATGCGGCAGGATTTGATAGCCTGGTTTAGAGCCTTTGTGGGTTCGTGCGATCCTGGTTAAAAACAAAACGGGCTGCCTTCAGATATTTCAGGCTTCCAAGCAGGCAGTGCCAGCAAACGGCTTTCAGGAAGATTTTTTTTTCAAGTGGCAAGAGAGAAGAAACTTTTTTTTTTGCCAAATGAGTGTCTTACATTAATCGATTTTAAGGTGTTTAACAGGAGAACCATAACGTTGTAATTTGTAGATAAAAGTGACCCGCAACACCTTACAATTTATTTCAAAAATCAATCGGTGCGAGGCTGAATAATTGATTGCCAGTCTCTGCCTTACACCTATAAATAATTTTCTGCAAGTCCTGACAGCTTCTGTCACCTCCCAGTCCCAGGATTGCTGGTCTTCCACGCAAGTTTTATATTTGACAGAAGGAACACCTTCCAAATCCAATTAAAAAACAAAAAATAAATAAAATTAAAACCTCTGGAAGCGTAAAGAAAAGTCTCAAACTTTGCTTGCCGTTCCCGTTCCTCTTACACAAGGATCGCATTGCCCAGCACAAAAGGGGCACGCAGGGAACTGTCGTGTGCGACTCGAACCTAAAAAGCAGGGCACGGTGACTGTCATAGCGGGAACAACTGTAATTGAAAAATAAAAAAAAATCACAACCCAGTAATTCAAAATATTCAAGAGATTTAGCAGCTCTGTGCAGGAGTTTGGAATAACCAGACTGGGCTCGGCACCACACCACGACGCCCAGCTCACCAAATACGCTTTGCAATACGGGGTGTTGAATTAAAAGATGCTGCTTTAATTACACACAGACCCTAAAAGTAAAATCGTTCCCTTCCAAGGCAGCAGTCCACGAGACCTGCTGCTGCGTGCTCAATGGGACCCAAAGAAAAACTCCCTTTTAGCTGGGGAAGATGCACCCGGACAGACCCCGCAAAGGGTTTAAGGGGGCTCGAGGCTCTCGGGCTGCACAGGATCTGCCCCCCCTGGAGTCCTGATTTTATTTCTAGCTGCACCCACCGCCTGGACGGGCTTCCCTGAGGGGGCTCTGCTGGCTGGGAGGATGAAAAGGGCTTTTCCCCGAGCCAGCAGAGCGCCCCACTTTGTCCTTGAGGACCGCATCCCCAGCCCCCCGACACAATTCCGGATTTCACAAACAGCCTGGAAAGGCGCCCTGTGTCCCCCCCATCCTCCCCGCGTCAGAGAACATCAGAAATTGTTTGTGCGGGTTGTGATAATCCTCTCCGATCTGGGTCAGGAGGAGGTTAAGAGCGGCGAGGACTCGAGCATCAAAGCAGCCCCCAGGGGGGTCACCGAAACCCCGGCCGGGACCGGGACCGCGCGCGCCTCCCAGGGGCAGGGGTGCGGAGACGGCCGGGTCCGGGGGTGCTGCGGGTAGGGTCCTGCCTCCGCCAGGAGCTGCAATTAACTGGAGTTCCCGGTTTAGCCGTAGGTGAAGCTCATCTTGTTAATTCAAACGGACCATCTGCATCTTCGGAGAACGACAAACTTCATTAGTTCTGCTTAGTTAGCCCCACGGCCGCCGCGCGATAACGAGCCCCAGCAACCTGTCACGTCTTTGTAAGGGGAAGGGCGCACTTTTTATTATCGCTATTACTATTAAAAAAAAAAAAAGAAAAAAGAAAAAAGAGGAAGCTTTTGTGATGGAAAGAAGGTCAAAGCCAGATTAAACCGCTGCGGAGGAAGCAGCTCCGGAGGGGGCAGCACCCGGGGACGGAGGGGACCACCCTTGGGCACCCCGGGGACCGTACCTGAGCGCCGTGTAAAAGAGCAGGGAGGCGGCCGCTGCTCCCAGCAAGCTGCCGAGGAGGTTGATGCGGGATGCGGGGGTCCCACCGGGCAGCAGCCCCAGGGCCAGCCGGGCCAGCAGCGTGAACAGGGGGTAGCCAGGAGGGTGGGCAACCTGCGGGCACAGAGGGACACGGGGCTGAGCGCGGCACGGCGCGGGGACGGCGGCATCCCCGGCACCGGCCACCCCACCGAGCTCGATCAACCCATCACCAGCAGCAGGGTTCTGTTTTTTTTTTTTTCCCCCAAAAAAAAAACAAACAAGGGGTTTCGTGCCAATTTTCACCCCGCAAATATTTCTTCCCTCGCTGGAACGAGCAGCTGAGCGGAAAGAGGCGCCACGTCGCGTTACCGCGCGCCTCGAACCGCTCCTTGTTTGGGTTCGCAGGATATTAGGGTCATTCAAAAGGCTGTTTGGGAAAAGGAAAAAAAAAAAAAAAAAAGGCAGATTCGGAACTATTTTATTGGTTAGCAAGTTGAAAGACCACACTGCTATCGGATTACCACCACGCTGACAGTCCTAAGGTCTTGCCTAAAGGGATCATGCACCATAATAAAGTTTATTAAATAATAAAACTTATTAAAATTGTTAACCCGATTTATTTTATTCTCCCCAGCTTATACAAAATTTGGGTTGATAATAAGCCAGCTACTGTATATACAGTAAAGCCTTTGCTTTATAATTTAGTTTAATTGGATTTAAAACTTGAAGTAAATTGTCGCGTGCTGTACTTATAAGTTAGTAAAAACTGTGGTTTGAAAATAAATTAATCTACTTTACTCCATGCTTAATTAAACTTCCTTAATTCCTAAAACTGTTAATGAGAGCATTGATTAAACAATAAAACTAATACTTACTCCAAGCTCATATGCGGCTGTGATCAGCTCCCCTGTGAAAAAATAATGTAAAACCAATAATTACTATTAGGAAATGACACTCCTCCAAAGTTTTCAAAATCCAAATGCTTGCATTGGGGTTTTGCATTAATTTGACTGGATAAAACTGTAAATCTGCAGAGATTTAACAGCATGAAATTTTCTAAGAATATTTTCCCCCTCTGATGTCACTGCGCAAAATATCTTTTGTGTGTTTTCGCGAGACTTTTTACCAACTGATAAGCGAGAGCGCAGGTAGGTCTGCTGCAAGAACGGCTCGAGATCCCCAAATCGCCGACATCTAGGTGTGTGTGCGTGGTTTTGATTTAAAACCGATTGATTCAACAACTCCAGCGCTGCCGTTTGCAGCGCTCATGCAGCATTGTTCCTTAACAACAGGCTTGTTTCTCGTTAAAATAATTAAAAAAAAAACAGGTTTGTGTTTTTACACGGGGCAAAACGAAGCACCGTGCCTGCAAACGCGTACGTGGCGCTCCAGAAATCCCCGCAGCAGCCGCTCTGCGAGCAGCTCTGTACCTGTCAGGGTCCCCGCTGCACAAAACCGCTCAGATTTTGCATTTTATTTCATTTTCGACAGCAGCTGGGAACGCTTGGAGTTTTCGGAGAGCTCCACGCCGAAGCATTTTGCAGCGGTGCTTTATTAAATATATTCGACAGGCACAAACACGTTCGAGGATGGGCACGACAAAAGGGGCAAAAAAAAAATTAAAATTAGGGCTGGTGCAGAACAGAAACGCCAGGAGGAGAGGTCCCCCCTTCACCTGCTGCTGCCCTAAAATTGCACGACCCATTTCAGCATTTTAGTTCCTGCGTGTTACGTTAATTTTCAGTCTTGACTTACAAAAAATGATGAGTTTGGAAAGGAAGACACCAGTGAATCCCCAGCTGCTGCTCCTATAAAATCACAGTTATCATCCCAAACGTGCAAGGAGCCCCAGGGCTTCCTGCCTGAACACCTCACCAGGGTGGATTTTACCCCGCTTGCAAACGCCAGCTACTTTTGTAGCTCCTCTATTTGAGGGAAAAGTTTCAACCCATTGCTAAAGTCCCCCAAAAAGCAGATGCAATGGGAAAGCCACCCCGAGCTCAGCTGGCTTGTGGTGGCAGACCCCAACTGGAGACATTTGGGGGCACCATCCCCGAGAGCAGCTCCAGGACATGCCCTGCCCCATCCCTCTTTCCAGGGCACCCTAATTTTCCCTACCCAAACCCGCACCAAAAGGCCGAGCTAAGGAAGAAAACCCCAAATTCGGCGTCCCAGGAGCCGACACGTGCTGACATTTCTGTCTGTCCAGCTCAAGCCCCCAGTACAGGCGTTCTGCAAACAGGCCCCAAAACACCCAAAAACTGATTTATCCCCAGCGAGGTTGGGAGCTGATGTCTGAAACATCAGAGGTTTTATTTTTTTCCCCTTCCCTTTTTTTTTTTTTATTTGAACTTGAGTTTATTTGATCCCTTTTTAAGCTGTTTTAACATCTGTGGATGCTCCCAAAGCAGACACAGCAAATCCTGAAGCACCTCTTTACCCACACAAGAAGCTTCGGTGATTTTGGGGGAACCAGCACGAGAGCCGTGCTGGGTCACCCCGTGTTGCACAGGGGCTGCTCACACCATGAGAAATGAGGGAAATAACCCCAAAAGCCATATTAAGCCCAAGCTGGGATGAGCCCACCTCTGTTCAGCTCCGGTGAATGGATGAAATTCAGGCAGCAGGCTTGGAAAAAAGTGCAAAAAAATAGGGACCGGGACAGGCTGCGCCCTGCTCCGTCCCATTTGAGGTGGTTTTTGGCATCCCGGAGGAAAAACCCAAACTCAACCCAGGTTTCTGGCTCAGCACAGGGCTGACAGCTCCGGGCAGGGGCACCACACGCTTTAATGGGATCGTGCTACCCATCGGGGAGCACCCAGACAGAGAAAAGGGTAGGAGCTGTGAAAATGTTGATCGTCAGGTACTAACTGGTGGGACCAGAGGGAGCAAAGGCAGCCCTTAAAAAAACATTAAAATCCCGCTTTTTTATTTATAAGGAATTTTATGAACAGCTTGGATCCGAAATGAGACACGGACAGAGCTGGGAGAGGGTTTAAGAGATCCAAGATGGGGTTTAAGGGATCTGGGATGGGGTTTAAGGGACCCATTCAACTCTTTATGATATGGAAGAGGGACGGTAGGTCTGGGTACCAGACCCTACCTGATGAGCACCCCCATAGGTTGACTGCAAAGCACCAGACCCTATAAGAGGGTGACCACCCTTACAGGGCAAAACCAATGCACCAGACCCAATAATAGGGTGAGCATCTCAATGGGGTGACAGCAATGCACCAAACCCATATGGTGAGTGTCAATGGGGTGACAGCAGTGCACCAGACCCCATAATAGGGCAAGCATCCCTATGGGGTGACAGCAACGTACCAGACCCCATAACAGGCAGAGCATCCCTATGGAGTGGCAGCAACGCACCAGACCCTATAGGGTGACCACCTTTATGGGGTGACAGCAAGGCACCAGACCATGTCTGACTAGCAACCCTATAGGATGACTGCAAAGCACCATACCCTATAAGAGGGTGACCACCCTTATAGAATGACAGCAAGGCACCAGACCCTATAATGGGGTGAGTATCCCTATGGGATGACAGCAAGGCACCAGACCCCGTAAGAGGTCACCAATACAGGGTGACAGAAATTAACCAGACCCTAAAATGGGGTGACCACCCTTACAGGGCAAAAGCAATGCACCAGACCCTATAACAGGGCAAGCATCCCTATGGAGTGGCAGCAATGCACCAGACCCTATAAGGTGACCACCCTTATGGGGTGACAGCAAGGCACCAGACCCTGTACAATGAGCGTCCCTATGAAGTGGCAGCAATGCACCAGACCCTATAAGAGGGTGACCACCCTTACAGGGTGACAGCAACGAACCAGACCCTATAATGGGGTGAGCATCCCTATGGGGTGACAGCAATGCACCAGACCCTATAGGGTGAGTACCACTATGCGATGACAGCAGTGCACCAGACCCTATAATGGGGGTGAGCATCCCTACGGGCTGACAGCAAGGCACCAGCCCCTATAGGGTGACCACCCTTATGGGGTAGCAGCAATGCACCAGACCCTATAAGAGGGTGACCCCCCTTACAGGGTGACAGCAAGGCACCAGCCCCTATACGACGACCACCCCTATGGGCTGACAGCACTGCCCTCCCTCCCCTCACGCTGACTGACCCCAAACCCTCAGCCCCACCTCCCCGCGGGGCCGCCCCGACCCCAAAAAGACCCCAAACGACCCCAAAACGACCCAAAACGACCCCAAACCCCCCCCCGGGCGGGCAGGCGGCGCTGGGTACGTTACCCGCGTCCCCTCCGGGCAGCCCTGCCGGCAGCGTGGCCCCATACACGGCCGCCACGGCAGCGCCCAGGGCCCCGGCGGCGGCAGCGGCGGCCCCGACCCCACACCCGGCCCCACCACCCGCGCCCATGCGGCGCCCCCGCGCCCGCCACTTCCGGCTTCGGCCGCGCCGGGCGGGCCGAACCACTCCGCACCCCTCGTGGGGGGGGGTGAGTCGCCACTTCGCCTTCTCCTCCTCCTCGCTCCCTCCGTCCTTCCCTCCAAAAGACGTCTTTAACAGAGAGGCGGTGGGAAATAAGCGGCGGTTAGAGTCTTGGAGGGCTCCTGTAGGCTTTGCTCTGTCACTCTTTCCCCCCCTCTGAGGAGGCTTGGTACGGTCGGGAAGGCGGGGAGAGCCGTGCGGCGGGGCGCGACCACCGCGCGGCTTTGGGGGGGTGCGGGGATGAAACCACCGCGGAGCGGCGCGGGGGGGAGGGGGAGCACCTGTGGGCGGGAAGGGCGGGGCCGCCTCAGGCGCCGTGCCCCCGCGCCGCCATCGCCTCAGGCGACGACAGCCACAGGGCTCGGGGTTGTCCTGAGGCGGAGCCGTCGCTGCCCTGCCCAACAGCCCCTCCACGCACTAAATTTTAAATATAATTCCTCACATGCAGCCCGGTGAGGGCTTCCTCTTCCAACTGGTGTAAATCCAGAGCGAAAGCAGCCGGGCTCTGTGAAAAGTGGCACACGCAAAGCCCAACGGCTCCCCACCACATGTAAATCCTAAATCAGCCTTCCACATGTAGTGCTCGAAGTACAGATGTGTATTGTGTAAATAATAAATAAATAAACAAACAAATACATAAATAAATAAACAAATAAATAAAGCTTTACGCCCCGGGTGGGGTTACGCGAGGTGCTGGTGAAGGAAAGGATTGAAGGGGACTGTGTGGGATGTTAAAAAAAAAAAAAAAAAGGAATTAAAACTGCTTTTGCGCCGTGGGAGTAGTTAAAGAAGGTAAATAGCTTCCTGAGACCTATCGATGGAAGGCTAAAACGCATCCATAGAAATCATTATGGGATTGTACAAAAGAGCAGCGAGGCCATACCTGGAGAATTGAGACAGATTAAAGGGAGGCTTTTGAATACAAATGAAAAAGGTATAGAAGAGGGTAACGAGGATAATAAACGGCCTTATGGATTAGATCTAAGTGGGGACGTTAGAAAATGAGGTTTGCATTTATTGAAAAAAAAAAAAGGCAGGATTAAAGGTCGACACGACTGAAAAAACAGCACATCAGATTTCGAGGAATGGAAAAGCTGGTGCTGGAGGGCCCTTTTGAAACTGTAACCAGCACACGCACACACAAGAAAAAAAGGCATGAACTGAGACCAAGAAAGGTATTAGGGGAATTTAGAGAAGGCCTCTTTACACCCCGCGGCTGGCACGTACGGAGACGGCAAAAGAAACCGCTCGGAAGCTAACGGGGCTGCCTGGAGGAGCTGGTGGTTTGGGGTATTTGGGGTACAAATGGGGCTGTGAGGGAAGCTGCTCGGCACCGAGCGAGCCTCAAAGCACTGGGCTCGTTGGCAGGTTCCTCGCCTCCTTGGCTGAGGTTCATCGGGGAGAAGAAAAAGATACGTTGCGATCCTCAGCCAGCCATTGTCACTGTGGTAATGAGAGGGGTCATTGTTCCCGCACCCGTTGGGGCTGCTAAAATGTAATTTTAGCAGCAAAGTGCGCAGTCTGCAGGCTGGTGGCGAGGCTCTTTATCCAGAGCGCGGCTTTTTTCTTTGCGGCGTTTTTCCTTCTTTGTATTTGACTTGGAAAAGGCGTCCAAAGACAATGTTAACCGTGACTGATTGCAATTATATTGAGGGGGGAGGTAGCAATTTAAACGTGAATATTGAAACGTGGAACAATGTCTGGTAATAATATGGTGAGGACAAACTATTCTTTAATTGTCCTACAAGTTGTTTTATATCTTTGTCATGCAGAAACTGGAACTTTTAGGGTGCCAGTGACAAAGTACTTTGCTCTAATATGGTAGGGCAAGCTCACAACAGCCTTTATCTTATTGAATAACTAACTACCGCCGTTTCAAAGGGCAGGATTACAGACACACTTCGTGTTGGCACCAACACTTTGAAGAGTGCATTTACATTTTTCTTCTGTAAGCAGAAATCTATCAATTCATGAGATTTGACTTCTCCAGGTGTAACCCAGAGGGCTGTCCAAGGCACGAAGGACATGCAAACCCTCTTTTTTTTTTTTTCTTTCTGTTTTTTTCTTAGGGGTAGCATGAGCCAGGCAGGTATTTTAAACCATTTTCATTCATGCTCTAAAAGTTGAGAGTTGCCCAAACCCAAGTCAGAGTCACCCCACCACAGAGCAATGCACAACAACTCTCTGGGCTTCCTCAAAGCCTTGAGGGTAGGCTCAAAGGCATTAATAACAATAATAAATATAATAATAAATAATAACAATATATTATTAATAAAATAATAACCATAACATTAACATTAACAACAACAATAATAAAAATAACTATAATAATAATAAATTATAAAAGAAAAAAAAGTATTCCTGGGGGGAAAAGCGCTAGGGGAAGCGAAAAGCTCTTGAATTTTTGAAAGCTTTTTGATTTATTGGAAAAAATAAATAAATAAATAAACCAGCCATCACCTGGAACTTGCAGCACGAGAGCATACTCTAGTGGTAAGTAAGCAAAGAAAGTGCTGGTGGTTTGGAGAGCTGGGTGTAGCTGGTGAAACGCCTGCTGCCTTTCAGGGGGAGGCTTAGTCTCTGCTATCTCCTCCTGGTTTGTGCTCCGCTCAGCCTGACAGGAAATACCCAAGGCAGGCAGAGAAAATAAACAGGAACTTCTAAAGTAATTTAACAACAGAGCTGGAGAACATATCTCCGAAAGTGGCTGTGTACTTAGAGAGTTGTCTTTGTATTGGGCTCTGTTGCAGATTTACCCCTGAGAGACGCAGTTTAGAGGAAGCAGGAGATAGGAAAAGGGAGAATAATACTTAAAGCAAATTCTCTTCACCCATGGCAGTGTCATTACAAACTTGAATGAGCACAGTTATTGCAAATAAATAAAAACAATAGACCAGAACCAGTTTTACATAAGAAAATACTGAAATACTGTTCAATTAGTCCTAAGCTTTAGTTAAACCTTTTCTTTTGCCCATCAGGTGATAAGGTTAATACAGAAAGCACTCAACTGCTGTACTTGTGTAACAACAGTCAGCATCCATTTAATGAACTTGCGTGTATACACATTTAGCAAAGCCTCAATATTGTCAGCGCCGGACTGGCACAGAATTTTAATGGCAAAGTAGCCAGCCCTTGTCTTAATCGTAAACAGTGTCCTTCTGTAAGAAAAGCTCGTCCTCGCAGGGAACATTAACCATACCAGTAAGTATTTAAACAAGAAGTTTGGCAGTGTTTCCACTGCCGATATACTGCCTGCAAAGCACGAAGGGGGAGATTATGATACTTTTATTTGTTCTTGAGTGGCTCGAATAAGCTGCGTTTTATGACTTCTTGCTTTCAGGGGGTTAGGAAGACCAGGCTGGTGCCCACATTTAACCACGGCAGGTTAAATGTGGACCATGAAGACTGAGAGCTACCGAGGAGAAGCTGGGACATCTGCGCTCACCCAAGCAATTGTGGATCTGTGTTCCTGGATACAGCACACAGGTGGCTCGCTGTAGTCACCCTGGTGGCACTGATGGCCTTTTGAACACATGCCCAATTTAGATTAAAAAATAAATAAATAAAAAAGATGTTACACAGGACAGCTCGCTTGCTATTTCAAACATCAGTTTCATTTTCTTCCCCAAATAATAATAAAATTAGACTGAACCAGTATCCCCATGCAGATCTTGTTTTTCACGATTTTGCAACTTTATAAAACAGGCTTTCTCGTCTTGCAGAAGACCTCCGGTGCCTGCTTGCCGCCGTTCGTAGCGGCCTTCCAGCTGATTTTCTGACACACTGAGCAGTCACAGATCCCATTTGTCTCGGCTGGTTCTCCCAGAACTCCGACAATCAGCTCTATGTTTTCACACCTGATTTCCTTAAACTTATTTATTTATCCCCGTGCCTTAGTGGTAGGCTCGGGTCTGGTGCCTGACGTGCACAGTGACTCCATGCTGGAGGCACAGACCTCACCGCTGCGCCTGGTACACCACGTGAGGGCCCCGTTCCCTTCATCCCCAAACCCCTGGATTACTCTGCGATTAGGGTTTGTAAAAAGGGTACAGTGTTGGGAACACCTTTTACCACCACAAAACACATTTAAATGATTTTCATCCTTCTTTTTCATTACATGTACCAGGGATAAATTGTCATCTTGTGCCTTGGCGGCCAAACTCAGCACCCTGGCCTGAGAAATCCCCAAGCACGGCACGTATCTGAAGAAAGACCCACAGTAGCTGATGATGCTTCGGATCTCCAGTGCTTCCAACTCTCATTTTGTCACCTGTGCTCTCAGTCTGGCAGCATCCCCACAGCTCAGGCAGATCTCTCATGCACTCCATGGATGTTTTTCCAAGTAGAGCTCCTGGACATGCTTCAACAACTCATTCCCGTGTCCGCACGGGTCCTGTGGTTGTTCTCCTTCGAGGTCAGGAAGAACAAAAAAAAAAGAATCGAGATATTTTGGCTCTGTCTCCATTTCCTGCAGAAGGCCAGGCTAGGAAACAGATTAAATGGATTACCTTAAATCCAGACTAAATCCTGGCATGAACCCAGACCCGATTTGCCCATTCATGGCGCCAGTTACTCAACGTCCATGTGGCCAAAGCTTTGCATGAGCAGTCCGTGCTCAAGCTAGCTGCCTTGTGGAAGATGCTGTGGGAAGGACCCCAGATTCAATTTATCTGCTGAACTGTGGCTGTGGGACATCACCAGAAGGCTCCATGGCTCACAGAGCAGCAGAGCAGAGGAGGAACACTCTGCACAAGTTGCCTACATCAGAACTAAGGCCACCACTGAGCACGTGTTAAAGCACAGCCTGAACCCAGGTCTCCTCTCCTTGAAGCCCCAAACGTTTTCATAATCAGAAGGAGCTGATGAACATGCTGGAGGCTCTCAGGTGGCTGAGATGAGGGGCTGCAGACTGTGCAAATGAAAGGGAAACCAAAGGCAGAGCCCCAGTAAGTTCTCCCATGGATGTGGCTTTCTAGGAATGGAACTGGGAAATTTGAACTGGTCCCATTGAGACCAAAAACTTCCACTCTGGCATTGCCTAATCCTGGGTTTCAGGTAGAGAGGTCTTACCATGAGCACCCTTTTAACACCAAGCAGGTGTTGACAATCACATCAAAACAACATTTAACATAAAACAGGAGGCTGAAGCAGAATATACTGATATTTCCCAGAACTGTTATTTCAGGGGTGCATAAAAAGAAACAGGGTGTTTCCTGAGACCTTCAAACCCCGTGTTACATTAAGTGAGAGGGAACAGCTTCTACAGCCTCCTCCTCCTCCTCTCCTGCATCTAAGAGCCCAGCAGAGGGTGACTGCAGCGTCTCGAGGTCAGCAGCCACCACAACATCTGCTTTTACATTAACACACCCGATGTTGCCACCGTTTATAATTTACAAGCCTCAGACTTCTCTTCCGCTTTCTGTGGCCTTGGTAGTTTTCAAGCTTCTCACAAGCCAAAATGAGAAAAACTGCATCTCGTTTTTTTCCAAGGCCAGAACTGCTGGTGCAGAAAATAGCCAAGTGCTGGGGACTGAACTCTGCTTCTGCTTACACGGGGAGAAATCCAGCAACCCCTCACTGCCTTCGGCTGATTTCCTCCAGATTCGCTCCGACAGAAAGCGGAATGTGGCTCTTGCTGTTTTCTGATGGCATTAAGGCCTTTAAAGAAAATCCTACAAAAGATTTAGCCACAAACAAAATCTCCTGCCTTCCACAAATCTGCCTCAACCTGTGCTGTGGAAGGAGCTGGAGGATCTTGCAGGGAACAGGGGACTCTCCAACGGGGGCAGCTGTGCAGATATTTGGGCACGATATTAGCAGGAAAAAGTGCAAAATAGGTTCATTGCGACCCAAGATGCTCCAACCAGCCTGCACTGCCTTTACTGCTGGGGGAAAAAGCATCAATTGTTGGTGCCTTGATAATCATTATGAGCTAATGAGCAACAGCTTAATCAGCACAGGCAATTCTTCTGCAATATAAGGGATAATTAATCACTTTTCTTCTGATTTTTAGGAACCTTGTGGATTTTTTTCGCTTGTAAGTATAAGACAATGGCACCACAGGCAGGATGGAGGCATCCTACGGGTCACATCTTCCATCCTCCAGCTCCGCAGCACTTTAGGGGAAGGCAGCTCCCTGCTAAACGCCCCAAGCCTTGCATAACCTGGCAGTTTTTTCCCTTGTCCTGGCCAAAATCCCACCGCTGAGATTCTGCCAGTTAAAACCCCTCCCTAAAAACATCCATCCTGCCTGGAGCCTGGGGACAAGGAGACGCCGATCAGACAGCCCCGGCGTGTTTCTAACACCACGGCAGGGCAGGGGGAAGGCAGGCAGCCTGCAGACAACAGGGTGGCTGCCTCGAGCCGACACATTTCTCCCTGTGCTCCAGACAAGATGTGCCACAAGCCCGGCTTGGTGGGGGAGATCCTGTCTCCCACCTCCTTTGGCTCGCTTGAGTTTCTCCCGTCACGGGCTGGCTGGAATTAAAACCAAGAGCCAAATTCCCCCCGGCTGTGGTCAAACAGAAGCCGCCCCTCACTCCCATGCTGGAGCCTGCAAGGAGTGGATTTCCCAGCTGGTTTCCCAGCCTGGGACCTGAGTAAGGCCAGCGAGCAAAGAGGAGCCGGGGAATTGGGTCCAAGCGGGCAGGTGCAGCGGCTGGATAGCTTGTGGATTCCCCTTCTGCCACCAAACACCGGTTCCTGCACATATGTTGCAACGGGAGCATTATTTGGTGATGGCAGAGCGAAAGGCAGGGGCTTGCTGCGGTTTGGAGAACTGCTGTCGGGGAGGTTCAGGAGCAGGAGGTGTGTGGGAGCAGAGGATGCTCCGAGGGATGGAAGATGAAGAATTTTGGCCTCGGCTGCCTGCACCCAGTGCGTGCATCTCCCCCTGGGTATATCGGGTGTGGAGCCACATCCTTGTGCCGAGCACTGCTGGAGAACCAGGAGCAGGGCAGGCTTCCCAGGGGGACTTGTTACAGCACAGGAGAGGTCTAAAAATTGCTGCAAGCAGCAGTAGGGGTGCAAAAAACACCCCCCTTTGCCATTACATTTAGCAATCTGCGGCTTAGCAGAGAGAAGGGTAGGCGGTGAGTCGACCGTGGTCGGTAAGTACCACATGAGGAGAAGATTTCTAACGGTGGGGTGGTGATTAATTGAGCAGACAAAGGCAAGGTGAGCCCAAAGTGCTAAAAGCTGCAATTAGATGAACTACACCTGGAAGAGAGGTGAGCGGTCCTGCTTGAAGAATCACACAGAATCACAGAATTTCTAGGTTGGAAGAGACCTCAAGATCATCAAGTCCAACCTCTAACCTAACACTAACAGTCCCCACTAAACCATATCCCTAAGCTCTACATCTAAACGTCTTTTGAAGGTGGCGAAATGATGGAGGAATTTGCCTGGGGTGGCAGCTCTCAGCTCACGCCTCACACATCTTCTTCTCCTCCTGGCATCCCTTATTTCTCTTCTAGCCCCTTTTTGCCATTTCCAGGGGATGCAGGGCTTGAGATGACTTAGACAAATAGAAGGGCCAGGCCAGCAGGGATCAGCACCATGATCCCTCCATTCCAGGACCACCAGGAGCCACTTGGCTTCCCTAAAAGCATTTGGTTTTAGGGTTGGAGACTCCCCATTTCTTCTCCTGTCCCATGGCAATGTTTCTGAGGGACTAGGACAGGGAAAACCTCCCAGCCCCACAAATAACAGATGACCTGGACGTATGCCCAGCACCACCACACGTTGGCCTTGGCCTTATTCCACCCCTCCTCAACTCCGTGGAGCTCCGGGAGGAGAGCGAGGCCTCCCGTTCCTAACAGCCCCTAATCCCTGCCCTCTGTAAGCAGTTTTAAAACGGCCATCAAATCTTCCCCCCGCCTTTAAATGAAAAAGTGATGTCAGCGGTAATCTGCTGCCCCGATTTATCCCCTGCGTGTTTCGGCAGTTTGGGCTAATGCGGTGTCCCACAAACATATGTTTTAACGCACCCGCGCGCGCACCCACACAAAGGGGAAGCTTTGAGCGCGCTGCGCTCGTTATGGAACCTAATGCCTTAAATATTACTTTTTAATACTAATGTCAGATTATTAAAAAACGTAATCCATTCCCCTGATTGGACCTAATGTAAGCAGGAGGATAAGAGGGCTTCCATCCATGCATTAACACATTTCATGGAGCGTAAAGCCACTTTCTCCCTCTTAAAACAGAAGGTCAGGAACTAATAGAATCTGCACTTCGAGGGGTTTTTTAAAACATATTACACAGAAACTTTAGTGAAAGTTAATCTGTTGATAAGTGTCGGCTGGAGCTGTGTGGGTAAACAAGAAATAAATGTAATTCACAGGCAGTTTTTTTTCCTGCTAAAGACCTGTCTGTGCACTTTAAAACATTTATGTTTAAATAGAGCAGGGACCAGCGCTAAGAAGCACTCAGCTGAAAGCAGCTTTATGCAAATGTGTCGTAAGGGACTAAAATAAAGCTACCCAAATCTCCCAAAGCTAAAGGGAGAAGGGCTCTGACCCTGGGGGAGCTCTCCCCTGACCCTGACCACAAACCCTTTCTGGCTTTCATTCCCTTCTTTGGCCCCATTTTTTATTTTTTTCTCATTCCCAATGCAGTGGGCTGAGTTGCTTCCAAAACCAGCCCCATTTCCCCATTTCTTTTCCCCACCATCTGCGGGGTGATTTGGAAACCCCAAACTGGGTGCTGACACAGAAATGCTCTCCATAAAGAGCTGATGTTGCCCAGGACCCAGAAATTTGGCAGAAACACCATTTTTAAGCAGCCTCAGCTCCCCGACGGTGGCGGAGGCCAGGCGGTGACCCAACTGCAGCGGGTGAAGCAGGAGGTGGAAGCGTGCGCTGGCAAGCTCCGGGGCTTGGCCCTTGTGCTCCCAGCCACATGCCAGGGATTTAAGCTTCGGAAACAGGCTACAGCCACCAGAAAGGGATTGATGACATATGGATTTCATACATTCAGCAAATGAAGGAAAAGCTCTCCGTGGCTGCATGGGATTAGCGCCATTCCCATACAATTCCTTGTAGTCCCCCCTGGAGGAGGGCTGCATCACTGGACACCGTCATGTTCACACCATTTGGGCCATGCTAATCTCGATGGCAGTGGAAAACGCTGGGGATGTGGAGGAAATTCGGGTCCTATAGGTCCCAGACCCTCCCTGTAACAGAGACAAGCAATTCTCCTCCTTGTCTGGCTGCCCGGTGTTTGCTGGTGTGGCTGCAAGCTGTGCTGGGGCTCGGGAGATACACAGATGGATGAGAATCAGAATTTGGGGGTTTATCCAGCTCCGGGGAAATGGGGACCAAAGTAATTTGGCATTTCCCACGCAACAACCAACACCTGACAGTATGGGAATCAGTGGCCAGTGCTGCTTGCACCCCAAGGCTGCCACAAGTCCTTTGGCAACCAGTCAAGGACAACCAAAATCAAACCGTGGCACCTTTCAGCCCAGGGCAAACAAGAAATGTTTCCGACAGAACCCAGCGAGTTCCTTTTACCTTGAAATATCCTCAGGATGCAACTACTTCCCAACACATTTAACCTGGTCAAATACCATGCGCATGAACAAAGTCACTGAAGAAGGAAGAAAAAAGGTAAAATAAAAAGCTTTGGTGCCAGATATTGAGCCCCCGTAGCCTGGCCATGTTATTTCGGGGAAACAATAGGACATCAGATCGAAATAAATGAGATTGGATCGTGCATCTGGTGGTGGTGCAGAGCAAGAGGGAGCTGCTATCTAAACCCCTTATGTGGCTTCTGTCCTTAGCAGAAGCTGATCATGCCTCAGGGGACCAAAAATCCCTACAAATGGGAATTCGTTGGCCATCTATAAGGCTCTGATTTTGTCACGGCAGCCACAGGAGCCATGAATTTGAATTAACTCCATGAAATCTTACAAATGGAGGGAGAAATACATCGAATTCGGCAGGTTCTTTCGTTTGTTTCCAGCAGGCCATGTCCTGCCACGAGCTGATGGCAATTCAAATCAGGGGAGGCATCACTCAGCAGGGAATTAGCTCTTGTAGCTGTGCCCGTCTCCGAGGCATGCTGCTGAGCGGGGAGGTGGAAGGGTGGGGAATGCAACCAAGGTCTGAACGAGATGGGAAATATCTGAGCAGGAAAAAAAAAAGGCTTTGGCAGAGACCCTGACTGCTATGTTCTTTTCCCATATTTGAACTGATGCCATGTTTGGCCAAAACTAAATTCGGGGGCTTCATGAGTACAATTTCCAACTAAATACTTGAAACCCTCTTGAATTTCAATGCAACTTAAGTCGTGGCATTCCTGCTGGGGCCGTTACCCTCTGCATGGTCGATCAGTAGCCATCAGATGGGAACGAACTCACAAATGGCAGCCTCAGCTCCGGGTCACACCTCCACCAGCTTTCTCTGCAGAATAAATCAGTGCCTCGTCGTGCTGTTAGGGAAGGACGTGGCTCTCTGTTATGTGCATGATTTCCTGTAGAAGAGCTAGGTAAGGGAAGACAACAGCTCTATGTCCCATTTTTATTTCATCAAGAGCCTCACAGTGGACATGTGAAGCGGTGTCGTGGTGGGACTTCTCCATCTCAGTGCAATGTCCCGTCCCTGGTCAGGCAGAGTGGGGCTAGGCTGGTGGTGAGATGCCCCGAGGCAACCAAGATGCCCATCTGAAAGGAAAGCAGGTGGTTAAATAACATCAGACAAAACCGTGCAATCAAATTACCATGCATTTTAATTTACAGGCCATAGAGATGGCCTGATTAAAATATGTTTTCAGTGCAACGTAGGTAAGAGTGCTGAAATATTAGCCTCATGCTCAATGACAAGCTCTTGCATTCCTCATTTACCTGCCTTGTGTTTCGCCTTCCTCGTGGTTTGGTTTGGCTTCCTGGCTATGACATGAATGAACACGTATAATCCTGTACAGCGTTGGCTAAAGCTTTAATTGGAGTCGCCTGATGGAAACCATGACTGATAGCTGAATGCCCTCCACAAGAACCTGCTGACAAGGCCGAGGCTGGTCCAGAAGTGTCCCCACCATGTCACTCTCCTTCTGTGACCGTGGTGTCCTCCAGCTCCTGCCTGTCTCAGCAGGGAAGAGGCACCCAGATCCTCCTCCAACTCAGCTTCCCATTGGGAAGGTCTTCTGCATCCACCCCTACCATGGTAGGAGAGAAAAGAAGCGAAGCGACCACATTACCTATGAGATAAGGTAATTTCTAAAGCTGTCAGATGGGGCAGAAGGTGGGCATGTCATTAAGGAGCAGGCTGTGTGCTCATCACACAACAAAATGGTTGCAGCTCGTTGGCACATGGCACAGGGAAGGAGGTAGCCATGGGCTGGTGCACCAAGCACGGGTCCCACCAGGAGCAGCAAGCTGGACCAGACCAGAGGAAGAGGCTGAAAATCACCTGAAAGCACAGGCAGCTGAAGTTGCAAACATTAACAAATTTGGAAATGTCTCCTGTTTAGCAGATCAGTGAGTATCGAAACAAAATGGGGCCAGAAGCTAATTATATGGAAATATTTCTATTTGCACATTTCACTGGAAGGCAAAGCGGAGAGTGCAACTAATACATCTCTACAACTGACAGGAATATTAAGTTTTCTGTCATTTTGCTACCACGGCTACCTTTCTCAGCATGCATTCTGTCCTAGTTCCCATTAAGGTGAGAGCAGAATCAAACTCATTAATTGTCTGCATTTTAGATATGATAAGAATTTAGTGGCTGGTGTTAATTAAACTACAAAACAACTCCTCTTGCTGCGGTGTGCATTCCAAGTTGGAGCAATTAATTCACTCACTTAAACTGATCAAGATTTAATTACCATCACTCTGTGCAATTACTCCATAATTAAAGTAATTTGGTTCATTCCACTCGCTGACAGTGTCATTGAACAGCCATTCATAGTACCCAAAGAAGTGATAATTAACTTAAAGAACAGCTCAAGGCAGTCTTACACAGACTTAGTTATTCCTAAATATACCTATACCAGAGACAGAAACCTATTGTACAATACAGGTGCTTCCCTGGGAAAGGGTTTTGGACATTTTGGGTTTGTTTTATAAGCCAACACGCTATAGCAAACCCAGTTTGAGGCAAGGCTTTGTGGTTGTCACCGGAGAACGTGCTGGTTATTAAGGATGGGCACAATAAAGCTTGGATCCCTCCAGCTCTACAGGCTTCCCCTGCCTGTTCCTGGTGACACCTCACGAGGAAAGAAGCAAAATCCTCAATGAAAAGTTCCTTCCACTGAGATAACACTGACAGCTCCTAAGATTTTACCAAGTGTCTCGTGGCAGGGAACTACAAGAGACACGTGTTGCTTTCTGTAAGGTTCTCAGCTCGTACCAAATGCAAGACCATGCAGGAATACTTTTGTATCCACCTATATCATCTTTAAAGTAATGATAGAGACCTGGTGTCTCAGTGCTCATGGCAGGTTTCTTTAGAAAACTCAGTTTTGCCTTTATTTTATTCTAGAAAATGATTTTGCTGGTGGACTTATTCTCCAAGAATTGGAAGCAAGTATTGCTGCCTGTTTCCAAAAGTAGGGTGCTTGTAGTCACAAGGATAAAGTCGGTACCACAAACCTCTGTGCTGAGGTTTAAACTCCTTAGATCAGTCTAATCTTTCCCCAGCAACCTTGTAAAATGCCAGCCTCTCTACGGGATGGACAGAGAGGGGCGGACACAGCCATCTGTCCTTCTGAAGGAGGCTGGAGTGGCAAAGAAGACCCTCAAGATTGCCCACCTTTTTCATAGTTAAGTCTTCTCAGCCCATGCACAGAAAGTCAAAACCTGACCCACCACAACATTTTGGTCACCAAGCCTGCAATATTTGTGTTGAGTTTTTATTCCCCACCACAATGATGTTGATCTAGAGAATCATCTCAAACAAGTGGAAGAAGCGCACTGACTATTGTTCATGACTATCGAGTCAATGCCAGGTGTCATCTTCTCCAAGAGCCAACTTTTCCTCTCCATCATCATAAGGAAGCCAGGCCACCTCCAGCTGATCAGATCAATCCACCCTACACTTTAATAGGACTGCCTGTCCAGCACAGCCTCATCCCATAACATCCCACAACATCCTCAGTTCTCTCCTCATGGTCACGTCTTGGGTGGCCCCCAGCCAGCTACTGAGATCGGTGCTGATGTGACTTTGACCTGATGGGCAGTATTGACCCCAAATATGCCAGATTAAGCTGATAATGAATACATTCAGCCTGGAAAAATGAATATTTCTGGTTCTTGGAGCTGGGTGATTCTGTGTTTTCCATGAAAACACACGGGGCCACCAACCTGTTGCTGCCATTGGTATGGGCAGAGAAGCACCAACAGGCACGGGGTTGCACGTGGTAATTCCTGATGCAGCCCAGCTCCTCGTGCTGTGGGTTTCCCGAGGTGTCAGCATGCCCGGCAGACCACCACAACAACCCAAGATATCCCCCAAAAGCTGGGAATTATCCCTGCACCTGCACCGTTTCTAAAGCCGAGCGTTTTGGTCGTGCTCCCAGCACTGGTTAGCCTTCTGTGACTCAGCAGTGGCTAAGTTAATATCAGCTCTGCCCAGGGGAATATATTCAATATTTCTTTCTACTTAAAAAAGGAGGGGAAAAAAAAATCCCAAACATTATTTTTAAGCTTCTAAAAGAGCATTACAAAAGAAAGAAGGGGAAGGGAAAAAAGAGACTATGTAAAGATTGCTTACCAGAGCCCTTTTACAATAGGCAGCCACGCAACAGAAATAGGTGGACATTAATTCATGCTAACCTTGCACACCTAAATACCATTAATTCATCAAAACTAATAACATTAATTCCTTCAAAAAATGAGATTAAAGACAGGCACCCCTTGCAGTCATAATCTGTGGCTGATGACACTAAAATGAAACCTCCGGTACACAAAGCTACCAGCAGAGCCTGTAGAGTCTCACAAATTGCAGCTGCCAATACATAAATCCTCGAGACAATATACATTATTTTCCAGGGAGCGAGCATTTGCACGCCAAACACCGAAGGAAAAGGAATGCAAAAGAAAAAAAGCTGGTGGTTTTCTGAGGAGCTGGGATGGCCCACGGCTGGACCTGCTGGCAGCTGTGGAAGCAATTTTTGTCTCAGCAAGAGCAGGCAGGCGTTGGGACGGGCTGCCCAGGGAGGTGGTGGAGTCACCGTCCCTGGATTTGCACCGAGAGATGCCCAAGTGGCAGCTCGTGGCCAGGCTGAGAGCAAGACCAGCAGGATGCTGCGTGCACCTCCAGCTTGCCCAGCACCAGGCTGGCACTGCAGACACACCACCAGCGCCTCCAAAGCACCGGAGATATTATTTCAGATTAAGCCCAGATTAAGCCCATTTAATTTTAACTCAGATTAAGCCCCTATTTAGAGGCTGGCCCCATTTCTGATGCAGCCGGGCTCCCCCTGACAGAGGAGCCTCCTCCTTGGAGAGACAGAGCCTGTATCTCCTCCCATCTGCCTCGGGTACACGGTGCTGCGGGGTCTGTGCCTCCTGATTTAGGGGTGCCCAGGACCTTCTGCAGCCCCCAGGGCTTTGGGCAGTCCTGGACACTGAAAAGCTGCAGCCCTATGATCTCCAAACAGCGATGGATGCACCAGGTGGATGTGCCACCTCCATGTGCGACACCTCTTAATTGCACAGGGCTTTCTCCTGCCCTGCTTTTTAAGAAATACTCCGCCATCCATCAATGCCTTTCAAAGAATATCTGTTTGCAATGAAATTTAAGGAATGAACGGTTCAGGACGTGTTCAAGATGGCTGGAAAACAGCAGTGGGGTGAACACAATCAGTACCTGCTGGTGTTAGCGGGATCCCAAAGGCCTGGCACAACTCCGTGAGGGACTATGAAGTCCCTAAAACAAAAGAGATGTCTCCATGTCTGAGGCATTATGGTGATGTGTGGCACACGAGGGGACACAGGCAGATGAGCGTGCCCAGGGAAAGACCGGGATAATCTCTCTTTGAGAGCTGCAAGCCATCGAGGTTCCTCAAAAAGGCAGGCAGTGCAGCACAGGCAGGCTCCGCAGCGCTTGTTTTTCTATTCGGTAGATTTCTGGAGTATCTCATGTTATAATTCGCCCACCTTTTCCTCCTAACCCAGCCCGGGCTGTGCTATTACCCGGCTGTGCAGCCTGTTTCCCTTCCTATTGCCTGGCTGTGCACTTCCCTCGCGCTAATCCCCCGGTAATGGACACTTTCTCTGAGCCAGCTGAGATCCGAGTTGCATTGTCTTTGCGGTTCTCGTGGATTTGATTACCGAGATAGCTTTGTTTTCATTATTTTGAGATTGGGGGATTTTGCCTGGTTCCCTCGGATTGATTCTCGCCGTTCAAGGCGGGCTGGCATCCCACGGCTCCTGCTTGAGTTTGATCCAGCAGCAGTGGGGGAGCAGCCCCCTGGCTGTCCAGCCGCCAACGCCGAAGGAAGAGCCACGTTTTGCTTTTGCTGGAAAGCACCTTTTGCTTGCAGAACAAAACCAGAGCAATTTCTGCCCCTTCCCTCACCATACTGGGGCACGCTGGCTTCACCTGGGCTCTGCTTGCACCAGGGAGGTGGAAACCACCCCCAGCCTGGGCAGGCAGGGGATGGGGTCAGCCCAGACAATGCAGCCCCTCAAAATTTTTGGCACCAGTCACGGTGTTTGCAGACCAGAAGCTGCTTCCAGCCCAATGCCAGAGCCCAGAGAAGTCCAGGGATGTTCACCTTCCCCACTTCTTCTTCTTCTCAGTGCCCTCTCCTTAAATAAAATCACAAAACTAATCTGATATTTTGATGCTTCCTGATAAAGCTTACATCTGTCAGAATGACCTTTCGGCTAAACAGCAATAGCTGGCATTAATCCTATTATTTCATCACGATTATTACTTTTTATCAAGGCAACGCAGCTGCCATTTCCTCGTGCACTAAGTGAATTGAAGTTCTCAGCTGGGGCACGCCGCGCTCGCAGATGTGCGAAGCGCCGATAGCCACAGCGCGGATTGCTGCTCCTTCTCCCGAGCCTGCACTGAAAAGTCAGAAAAGCAGAAAAGTCAGCTCAGCACGTGAGAAAAATAATCCCGTTCCAGCCCACGGAGGCATCAGGTGGAACTCGTGGCTGTCTGTCCTGGGGAAGCAGCCCACAGCTGGGCAGCACAAGAAGGACATTTGGTGGCTTCTGCAAGAGAAGTGTGATAAAATTGCTGATTCTGATGACTCATCTTAAAAGAAGTAATAAATAAATATCAGACCAATTCCAAGATTGATTGAAAGGAAGATAAAGGTAAGGGCTGAAGCATTTTGGATACAGTCCGTGCAGCATTTCCCTCCAGTCCCTAAGTGCACATTTTAGGGAAGCAGAGGGATGATGCCACTGACTCAAGGGCGTTGTTCGCCCCCTCACATTGTAGGGATCCCAATGTGAGTTGTGAGACACCAAAACCCTGCTGGCCTGGCCACTCACCACGACCTCAGCAATCCCACAAGCTTCACAGGGTGATGCATCCAGCCCTACAGCCACCTCCAGGGCCACAACAGCAGGTCCAGCTGGGGCATCAGTCCCAAGGGCAGCAAAGGGTCTATCCCAGGGCCTTGCAGGAGGTCTTTATGAGCCTGATAGATGAATATCCATCTTGTTCAGACATCGCTGATCCCAGCTGGAGTCCAGGCACGGGTGAGGTGGCCTCTTGAGGTCCCTGCCAGCCTTATTTTTGGTTTCTGTGCCAGGGAAGGGTTGGATGCGCAGGAGGTGGCCGTGCAGAGCTGGTCCTGCTGATCCTGCCATCAGTGCTGCGAATGGCCATGGGAAGATGTGGGCAAAAGTCTTCAAAAAATGTGGCACTGACGATGTCCTGGGCATGGATATGGATGTGGGGGTGAGCATGGACGTGGGCATGGGTCTGGGCAGTACAATTAGGTCTGAACAACCCTAATGGTCCCTCAGGGACCCAGCAGCTGGTGGGTTCCCAGTGTGCTGGGAGCTCCTGCTGGGACTGGAAATGTCTGGGACAAATGGGGTATCCCCCAAAAGGCCCAGCCTTAGGGGACCCCCCTAGATTTAGGAGACGGCGCCAGACGGTGCCTACTTTTTCTGCAGCTCCTCATTTGTCCTTTACAAGGTTCTGTGATTTAAGAACGTGTGTTAAATCTTCTGCAACAATCAATTCAAATGTACAAGTTTGGCTATTCAAATTACTTTTCCAAAAGTACTTTAAAATGCATTAAGTTATTAATTGCCTGCTGGCACTTTAATCAAACGGGAAAATTGACATAGCCAGAGGCATGTATTTTTGTGGAAAGGAAATTTATTTAAGAAGAAACAGCAGCTCTTACTGCTTAATTTAAACTGAGAAAACTGTGGAAAATCAACTGCTATGGAAAATTAATAAAACATTTCCAGCTGCAAACAGTGACTAATTGTACAAGATGAAGACTGCCTGGAATTAATAACTTGCAATCTTCTGTGTGAAGAACCCCCTACCAGTTCAATTTACTGGGAGATTAAATTACTTCTAAGTTTGCCATATTAAAACAGAACATGAATAAAATGTTAGTGAAAGCACATCTATTATTTACTGTCTGTGATATGGATATAATTATTTCCAAACAACCACAATGTGACGTGACTGGCAATACTGAAGTTATTTGCTGGTGAATGGAGTTCTACCACCCCGGTTCCCATAACACCAACCCAAATGGGTTTCTGAGGGTGGCACATTGCTGCCACAGGGAATTATCCCCCCAGTCCCTGCCCCATGATGCCCAGCACCCCCTTTCTCACCGCTCTTTTAGTGCTAATACCGCTGTGCTTTCCCCACTGTTCCCACACCATATGAGCCTCATGCCTCCCTTGCTTTGCCCAATTTTTATATTTTTCCCCCCGTTTTAAAGCAGGAGCCAGCTGAGCGCATGGAAAGCCTGGTGCATGTCAGAGCTCCAGTAGCAGCAGAGCAAAACCAGGTGAACGCTGTCCCCTCCAGTACCGAAACTCACCTGCGGAGCTGCCAAACTCACACTTTCTTTTCACGCACATGCCAAATTCATGGGGAGTGTAAGCCCAGTTTCAAAGGAGTTAAAAATGGGAAGGTGGAAAAGAAACTAAAGCCAGGCAAGAGGGTGTTTGCTAAAACCCAGACAAAACTCAGCAGGGTTTCAAGGCAACCCAAGAGGGAGCAGGAGGTGGGAGAGCTGCAGAGTTGCCAGCCCCCAAGATGCAGCGTGGTGGTCCCAGCATGGTGTTGGGTGCTGAAATAAAGCGAAAAAAGAGGTTGTGCAAAGCATGGGTTAGGTGCAGGAGGTGTTAGAGGTTTTGATGCACCAGGTGGGTTGGGAATGTGGAGGGACCACCTGGGATGCGTTTGGGGCTGATAAGGCTGACAACACTCACCTGCCACAAGGTGCAAAACTGCTTCCAGGCCATTAGCTGTAACATTAAGACCCTTAAAAAAAAATACAATGTGCTACAGAGATGGGGCATGGGAACACAGTGAGGGTCTGTGGGGTATCAGTCCGTGCCATTCAGCTCAAAGACAGGGAGGACAGGATGATGCCATCCCCACTTTAGAGAGGGGAAACTGAGGCACGGAGCAGCCTGGGGCACTGTGTTGGGGGTCTCATGGTCACAACCCCAATGGGGACACCCCCTCCATGTCCATCTCTGCCCAGCAGGTCAGGGAGGAATGCCCAAACTGGCACCCACCACGAAGCATCCCGGCCACCTGGGGCTGTCAGTGTGTGTCCAAGCACCCTCGGGAAGCCCTAAAATGGGGCTGGAGGGCTGGAGCTGGATGCACCGTGGTGGGAACCACCCAACAGCTCATTCAAACAGAAATTAGTGGTTTACCCATTGCGTGGGACTGCCTCTAAGGCTTTGCTTTGATGTGGGGCTGTCCCGAGAAAGTCTCATCAGGAGATGCCAAGCCCCAGCAGAAGGTGCTGCAGACACAGCTCCGCTCGCTCCCAGCTCCCCAGTGTGGCACGTGGTGTTCAGAGCCTCTCACAACGTACCTCCAAGGCCTGTGAATGATAATGAGCATAATTATCAGTGCTGAGCATTAGAAGATAAGAAGTTCTTCTCCATCCATGAGCAGACGAGTTGTAGTGCAGGCCTGTGGGTTAATGTACAGAACGTGCATGGACAGAGACGGAGCTTCCAAAAGATGTTTTCACGTTGCCGTAATTGAGTGTGTCACATTTAATTGCAATAGGCTTTGCGCTGAGCAAACCTGGGGACCTCTCCTCTTGATAGCAAATTAGACCTGATTGCCTAATTGCAATTACCTGGGTAATTAGATAGAAATAGAGTATAGCCTTGTGCTGCACAACGGTGAGGATTCACTTCCGAACAGAATTGGCCTGGCTTCAAAGTGGAAAACATGGACAGACAGACAGACAACTTAACCTGCTTGTAATGACACAAGGCAAGCCCCAGGGCTCAATCCCTCAAGAAAATAGTTTTAAAATGACACAAGTCTGGCTGCAAAGAGCCTCGTTTGTGCTGCAGCCTGGATCCCAGCAACCTGAGCTATTGGAGAGCAAGGGGGCCACCATGCCCCCAGTGTGCAGCACCTGTGTGGGATCCTTTGGGAGATCTCCCAGGATCCTGCTTCAGTCCCACAGGAGATGCTGGAGATGCTCCACACCTGGAGGCACCAGCCCTGAAGGTGCAGCTTCAGCTTCATGGGAGCACGGTGCTGGGAAAGGTTTGGGTGGGATGGGAGCACCTGGAGATGAAGGATGGAGCCGTGTCACAGGGGTCAGGGCTCACTGCCACCACACCTCAATGCCACTGGGCTTTTCTGGGCCTGGAAGGAGAACTGGCTTTGCTCTGGAGCAGGTTCAAGAAGCAAGAAAAAAGCGATAATCCCCCTTCGGCAGGGTGTGGTGCTCATAAATCCGAGGGGCTGTAAGGCTCACCTGGGCGCTTGGCAAGACTTGCTTGCCTGAAAGCCCTCTTCTCCCCCTGATGGGGATGTGCCAACCCAGAGGCACGTCCCCATGGGATGGAAATGCCCTGCACCATGCTGCAGCCCCTGGTGAGGAGCAGGAGGAAGAAGGCATCTCTGCAGGGAAGGTGGATGGTATTTAAAGCAGGATCAGCCCCTTTCCCAGCCCCTACACCATCGTTCACCCTAGCCCAGGACAACCTGGCCTTCCTTTGCTCTGAAGGGCCAACTCCAGCCCCCTTTCCCTGTCTCAGCCCTCATCCCTCCATCCAGACCCATTCCCCTCACCCACCACATTTCCCCCATCGCTGCCCCGACGCTCCCTTTCTCCCCGCTTCGTTGTGCTGTTTTCTTTTCCCTTTCTCTTTTTTTTTTTTTAATTTATTTATTTTTTTTAATTCCCTTTCTTCTTTTACCCTTAAAGAGCGAACAAAACAAAACAAGGGAAAGCGGTGCCAATCCGATCCTCTTAGCCCAACGTGCCTACCCCGGGGAGGGCTCCGGCGGCGCGCGGCGAAACCCCGGCGCATTCGTCCTGCTCCTTCCCAGCAACTCCGGCAAATTGTAAGCCACCGCGGAGGGGTGTGCCCCCAGGCACCCTGCAAATCCACTGCCTTTGTCATAACGAGAACAAATCCCACCTTTGAAGTTTTTCCTCCTTGTTACAAGGGGAATGTCTTTTGTTTAATCCATTTTAGCCTTTAATGCCTGACCTGGATCAATCCTGTTGGGTAGTGATTCAAAGATCGAAGCCGAAATTCCTTTAAGTGGTATATTCTTTATTGCAGCGCTGGATGCACGGGGGATCTCTCCACCTATCGTGCATACCCAAAGCAAAAAGCAGTCTTGAATTTATACAATCAATCTATCAATATTCTACAAGCACCTATACATATGCATTACCTATCCCCGCCTTCCCTCGCTTCTCATGCTAATTAGCCTTTTGGCACCTTGCGCCTGCGTAGAGCCTTCCAAGAATTGTGGGCAGGGGTCTTTGGGACGTGGGCAGGGGTCTCTGGGAGGAAGACCCCGAGTCTTCCTCACAGTGTACTTTTCACCTTTGGTCAGGAATCTGCTGAATTGGCATGTTTCTTAATTGCGAGAGCTGGTTGTTGCCAATTCTTCCGTTTGTTGTATCTTTATAATGAATTCCAATGTCCAGTTTTGAGATTTATAGTCCTTACGTTTGTTTCTCTGTCCGTCTGCCGCTTCCTTATCATGAGTTTCAGTGTCTTGTTTCGAGATATACAGCCCATGTGTGGGGATTGTCCTTGCCTCCCCAATACCTCCCCAATACATCCCTAATCAATCCCCCCTTTTCTTTTCCCATGCAAATTCTTTTGCATCAGCCTAACACTACTAATGTGATTAGAGAAATTTTCTTTCCCAATCATTATGATATGTACCCCTCAATACCTGACCATGCACATTTGTCAAGGAGGCTAACATGGACATTCGTTGTAACAATTTCCAATTCCAAACAAGTAATACAAAAGACAATATTAAACTTATACCAACTAATATCAATAAAACAATAATTGGGTGACTCAGTGTGTTCAAAATCCCAGTTGCAGTTGGCGACCATCCAAAAAGTGTATCCCACCAGTTGTGACTTGTGTCTCGTTTCACTCTTTGCAAAACTCTGCTTATTTCCTTTGTATCATGATGGACAGTAATTAGAGTCTTCTCTCCATTTTCCTGAATACCTTTTAAAATTCTAATCAGGTCTTGGTGTTTAACTAGTTGCTTCACTAGTGTGAGGTTCATCCCAATAGGTGTAGGTAGTAACTTATGATACATTGTGTTGTTAGACTTGATCAGCTGGTGGGATACCACTGGTGCCAAATATTGAAAATCACACCCGACGATTCTAACAAAGTTACAAATACAAAAATTAGAATGATTTTTGCTATGGAGAGTTATATTCTCCTTGTCTATTTCTACAAAATCACAAGCAGTTCTTAAACACACGCACCCTTTACCAACATATACAAGCACAGTCTTTTGACTAGTATTTGGATGAATTTCAAAGTGGCAGATACCTTGCTCCGTGTCAAAACATACGTCCTGAGCATCAATTGTATTACTTTCACAAATAAATCCTTGTTGTTCCCGGGTAACACATGATTCTAGATTTACGGACTGCCATTTCCCATTCTCCATTCGTGCCCATGTTCTATGCTCTGAAGGATAAAGCACTGTCTTCTCATGGTTTAATCCTAGTGCAAGGATTGGGTGTATAACATAAACTGTAGCATTACGTATAGTAAGCACGAAGGCAGTAGCCATGTTAACAACGGGATCATAAGTAAAATTCACCAGGGTCCACCAAGACTGGAACTTCTTCTCAAAATCATTGGCATTGTCCCAAACTGCCTTTCGGATTTCAGCTGGAAAAATGCCTTCACTTCCTTCCCTAATAATCAGGGCAGCCGTTGCCTGCAACCATAACTGTGCTTGCATACAACTAAGAGCTAAGGATACATTATCTTGAATCATACTAAGTGCATCTATTATTAGTTTGTGGTCTTGGTCTTCCGTATTTTCCCATTTCGGTAACACCTTTGAAACTTGCCATTGGCTAGTTCCCAATGCCAATAAGGATGATTGTAAGGGTTGTTTTAATTTTGTCAAATCACTTGTTGCTGTGGCTAGCTTATTCATTAATATTTCTGAATCAATTCCATTTAAAATTCCTAACCCTGTTCCTAGCATTCCAGTTAAGTCTCTTCGTGTCCTGCCCCTGAAGTGCACTTGCTTCTGTGACCATATTGTCCAGTCTTCAAATGATGTTCTTAAGAAAGGAGAACAGGCTGGTTGAACTGCCGAGATGTTGATTTGTATTAGCAACTCAACACGCTTGAGTGACCATTCTGGATTAAATAACAATTGCTGTTGGCCCGTGTTCCTTACTACATATGGGCCAGTTTCATAAATTTTGGGTTCCAGTTTGATTAGAGGTGGGGTGTGGGTTGTAGAGGGTCTCACTGTTGTAGGAAGTGCCGCATATATTGTAAAATTTAACATGAGGCCCTCACCATTATTGACTTTGGACTGTTGGCCATTATTATTATTCCAAAAACAGCTGATTTCTACATTCTCTGTTAATGTAAAATTATACCAGCAATCCAATTTACCTGGGCGAATACAACCCTCTTGTTGTCCATTTTTGGAAATCGGTTTAACCAGAATCCCCGTTGCTTTCTCGTCAGTCGTTCCATTAAACATTTGACACCCTATTTTAATTTCATCTCCTATGGTTCTTTGGTGTGTCCACCCTTCCCCTAATTTTTGCCATTCTGATGGTTTATATAAATAGTTAACATTTGTTCGCCAGATGACCATGA